TATCAAGACTAATTGTATTTGTTTAATGAGTACGAAAGATGGGCAAACTTTAATGGAAGCTATTAGAAACCTTATTAAAATTAAAAATTAGAGGATTAACCTTGATGGATAAAATTTAAATAGGGTTCAAAAAATTTGAAAGATCATTTATAAAACTTTTCAAGGTAGGTGAAAGAGAAAAAAATATAATTATATCAGATTTCATTTTAATGGAAAAACTATACAAAAGGATATTAATCAGGCTTAGAGAGGTAAAGGAATAAAATTCATAGAGAAGACTTATCATCGAGATTCAAGAATATATGATTATAATAAATTCATGAATTAAAAGAGTGTTGAACTAAAACTACCTAGAAACAATAATGCTGCATGTAAATCATATAATCTAAACTAATTAAATTAGGTATTATTTATAAAATTAGAGAAATTTTAATAATAATTATATTAATAATTAAAGGAACTAGAATGCTTTGATTCATAAAAAATATTAAAAATAAAATAAAAAAATTAGAATCCTTTTATAGAGTAAATATTAAAATAAAATTAAAAAATTGGAAAGAATTATTATCAGGATAACAGGTATGAATGTGATTAGATCAAATATAAATCTTAATAAAGAAAAAATATAATAAATAATAATTTTATAAATTGAGAGGAAAAAAAATACAAATTTCAATAAAATTATGTTTGTATCATCATCAAAATTATTGAGATTTTGTTTATTTAATAAAAATGTTATAAAAATCTCTAATAATTTGTACATTTAATATCCTATGAATGAAATATTAGGAAGTTACTTTACATTAAGAAACCATTATTTTTAATTTTACTTTTTCATCAAGTTTTCAATTCTTTGTTTTTAAAAATAACTCATTATTAAAAAGTAATTAAATTTAATAAAAGAATAAATTTTATTTTTATCATCAATTATCAATGTATTTTAATCAATATCTTAACTTATGTGGTGTTAATTTAGAAATTACAACATTATTCTGCCTTATAACTTTATCCATTTCATTTTTCCAATACTAAAGAATCATTTTATTATAAAAATAATTACCTTGATTTCTTGTTACAATTCAGTTATTTATTTACTAAATTATTCCTTTAAAGTTTTTTCTTTTTCATTTTTTTTTGCCAATTATTTTTCAAATTGACTAATTTTCAAATACAAATTAGAGTTTTCATTTGATAAAGTTTTCAATTACTCATTATTTTTATTTGCTTAATAAAGTTTCAATTCCATATCATTCAATTATTGCTAAAAATTCTAACAAAAAATATTTTAATTTTATTTTACTCTATCTCTTGGAGTTTAAACATTTTTTGATGCTTTCTTTAATAATTCAATTTCTTCTTAGTAGATTTATTCTTTTACTGCAAAATCTTTAAATTTCTTTTAATAATCAGACAAAGTAATATTAGATTATTACATCAATCCCTCATATTTCTAAATTACTTCCTATTCTTTTGTTTTATAATAATCTATTAAATTAACGGTTGAATATACCTTCATAATATTTTCTCAGCTTTTCTCTCTCTATATTATTTTCTTATTAATAATAATACAATTTATTGAGTGCTTCTCTTGCAATATCACCTTATCTTTTTAATTCATCTACTAAATTTTTTTCATTCTTTTTCAGATCCTTTATTTTACTTTCTTAATTTTAAATTATCTTCTCAAGATCCTCTCTAATTTTAGTAAACTATTACTTATTTTTTATCAACGTTTCAAAGCTCTACTTTAAATTCAAGACTTGTTCTTAATCAACTACAGATTTTGATTTGCCTTTTTTTTTGGAAGTTTAATCAGTATTCTTTTTATTTTTTGGTTTCTTTTTTGAATCATTAGGATTTGTATTTAATCTAGTAGCCATATGTAATATATTTTTATTAAAAATTATAATTATGTATTAAAGTTATCATATATATTTTCTATTATTCATATTTTAATAATTTTTTAGTTTTATTAAATAATAAAAAATAAACTATTTATATTTCATCTTTACAAAAAACAATATTTATCAATATTTTTTATTTAAATATCCTATTTCAGCTAAATTCAACCATTTAAAATATTATTTGTTAATGTTAATTTCTCAGGTGCTTAAACTTAATAAAATATTTAGTAAAATTTTTTTTTAATAAATGTATATTTAAAATTAATATAGAAAATGTTCTTCAGATTTAAAATTTCTAAAGCAAATTATGCATTCTGATAAATCTTGAAAAATTTTCGAATTCCTTTTGTATGAAAACTATCAGAAATTTATAATAAACCTATGAAATGAATGTGAAATATTTATATAAACTTTAATTAAACATCAAAAAACCATTTTTTCAATTTCCAACTTGAAAATAGCAAAAATTGTATAAAATTATTTATTAAAAGATCTGATCAAATTTTTTGATCTAAGAGTATAAATTTTTGAGACTTTTTACCAAATGAAACAAAACTAATAATTTATGATAAATTTTTTCAGAAAGCAAATGTCATCAATTTCATCAGTGTTAGATTTTTTAGGACAGAAAGATAAGTTCTTTTTAAAAGAGTTATTTTTAATTAATATTAAATATATGTGTTTTTTACTCAAAGCGATTTTAATTTTATTACCCTTTGTTAATGAAGCCTAAAAGTTGAGGCTCCAAGATTCAAAGCCTTTAATTATGGACTGCAAAACAATAGATGAAAGTTAATAGAATATGTTATATAATAGGAGATAATGGTTTTGTGGGAAGCTAGTATTTTTATAAATACCTTTCTCAATCAGGAAATATGCTCAACTTAAACAAGATTACTTTTAGCTTTTGGATGATGGTTTATTCAAAGATGAAACTAAATGGGAAGCAAATATTGTTTGGTTTTGTAGATGGTTACACAAATACTCCTGTAAAATTTAAATATAAAATTAGTATCTTAATTTAATGCTATATTACTAAATAGAATAAGGAGATTATTATATGTATTTAGTGAATTAAAGATTTTCTCCTGAAATTATCAAATTGAAATTAGTTTAGTACATTATTTTATTTATTTTAGAGAGAATGATCTATATATTGGGAATTGGAATCATTTATTGTTATCTATAGACTAGAGCACAATTAATACATTTATAAATCTTAAATTCTTTTCTACTTATGATTATTCATTGAATTAGATACAAGAAACATTAGTCAATCAAAAGTAATGATTTTGTATAATAATTAGATTAAATTATAAATTTGGTATACATTCTAGAATAACAAATGAATAGTTATATAATACACCATATGATTACAAAGCATGTGTAAATATAGCTAATTTTGATTACTTCAATGGATGGACAACAATGGATTCAGAAATTTATCTTGATTATGATTTGGAACTCAAATATTTTCTTAAACCTTATAAATTAATTGGTTTGAATGTGAATGATGTTTTTATGAATGTGATATTGAGATCAACTACAAACCCAATATAATATAGTAATAGTATTGGATTAGTTTTGTATAAAAATACACAGATAGTTTATAATTTTATTGAATAACTAAGTTCGTTTACAATGATGTTTTGGATAAAGCCATCAAATATAGTTTCAACATTTTAATTTCTTTCATTAACTGATGACGCTTTATAATAGACAAGTGTAGGATTTGGAATAAATAAAGATTATAATTTATTATTTCATTAAAATTATGATAAACTTCAATTAGGTAGTATAAATGATAATACCTGGGCACATGTGACAGCTGGTTTTTTAGAATTAAGTTTAGATTAAGATTTTTAGGCAACAAATTCTAAGAAATTATTAAGAGTTTTTATAGATAACATATAGGTTACATTGAGAACAATAACAAATGTAATATAATATAGACGATTAGTATTTGGACCTGTATTTATGGATGATATGGGTTTAGAAATGATTGATATATAAGATATAAGAATATTTAAAGGTTATAATATTTTAGAAGCCAATGGAGATTGCCAATTATTTGTTGGAGATTATTGTGCATTTTGTTTAGCTAATACCCATTACTGCAAAGAATAAGATCCAAATGATGATATTAATATCTATAAATGTCCAGCTGGATACAGAGAATCTGGCGCAAATTGTATTCCAGTAACAATTCCAAATTGTCTAAGATAATCAGGAACAACTTGTTCAATATGTGCTAATAATTATTATGTGAGAAATGGATAATGTTAAATAATTAGCACATAACTATCACCATACAGTTGTACAGATTAGTTTGCAATATTTTGCTAAAACACTAAAATAAAGATAATGAGTACTTATAGTTTGGATGATAAAAGTAAATTGTGTTAAAATACTTATAATTAACACAATCCAGTAACTTATCAATGTGAATAAATTAAATAATAAATTTGTCTATAGGCTCAATACTTAACAGCATGTTATAATTGTAATAATGGTTACTTTTTAACTGAATTAAATACATGTTAAAGAAGCTGTACTGCAAATAACAGATTTCAATTAAATAAACTATGCTTAAAAAAGTGTCCAGGAAGATACTTATATGGTTATAATTGTTTGATAGGTATGAAGAATCCTACATACAGTTGTAATACAGCTTCAAGATGCAATAACAATGAATTAACTTTAAATTATTATTGTTTAAGATCATCAGAATAAACTGGGTAAGTAGGTATATGTGTTCCAGCTGGTTCAACATATAAATTAGTTTATGAGGATTGTGATCCGCTTTGTAAATATTGTTTTGGAACATAACCTAATTAATGTTTGGGTTGTTATGATAATAAGTTTTTTAGTCCATATTATACAACTTGTTTAGATGATTGTAATACATAATCTAAGTTTAAATTTAATAATAGAGATTGGATGGTTTGTGAATTAGAATGCCCAACAGGATATTTAACTTAAGATTTTGATTGTGTAAGGACATGTAGTAATGGTTATGCAAAATATAATTTGATTTGTTTACCTATCACTAGTATTACTGATAACTATTTAAGTACTTAGACAATTCCAAATTAATAACCAATAGCAATATTTGTAGATTGTCCTGAACTATGTTAGACATGTACAAGTGATACTTATTGTACGACTTGTCTAAATTATTATCCTATGAATTAAAATAAATGTGTTCCTTCTTGCTATCCAAAATATTTGTATATAGATGAGAATAATTTAAATATTTGTTTATCGGCATGTGATCCAAGTGATTTAGTGTATGATAACATTAATATTGATGGATTTTCTATTAGATAATGCTTCAAAATTAAATGTGGTTAAATTAAAACTAATAGAGTTTATTAAACATATATGCATTAAACAAATACATAACTCTGTATGTATCCATGTGATGCTGGATATTATACTCTAAGTACAACTATGTAATGTACTAAATGTAGTACTAATTGTGCTACTTGTTATAATTCAGCCACTACATGTACTTCTTGTTATCCTACTACTTTTCTCTCTGATAATGATTGCTTTAAAACATGCAAATCTAAATTTAGAAACTATATTAATTGGTAATGCGAAGGTTCATGCTCTATTGGATTTACTATTGATGATTAAATTTAAAGTATATAAGCTTGTGTTAGTAAATGTGGATAAGTATTCGGAAACTTTGTCTATTCTCTCAATAATAGATGTTATGATATTAAACCTATTATTGGTGCATATTGCATAGCTAATGATTGTTATAATTGTTACTATAATTGCAAAACATGTTCAGGTCCAACCAATATTCAATGTTTATCTTGTTATGAAAAAACATTTTTTTTATCTAATTCATGTGTTATGGATTGTGGAAACTTATTCTATGATCTCATAAATTGGAAATGTGTTAATGTTTGTCCAAACAGTTCATATACTACATCTGGTTATTAAATTATAAATACTATTAATACATTAATTACATCTTGTTCATCCACTTGCTTATATAATCAATTTTAATATAGAGATTTATGTTCAAATATTCAACCTATTGGAACTTATTGCGTCTCAAAAACTAATTATTCATTATGTGATAATTGTGCTGCTGTTTGTAAAACATGTTTTGACTCATATTCAACTACTTGTACTGAATGTAATCCAGGTACTTTTTTATCTGATACTACTTGCTCTACAGAATGTCCTGAAAATATTCCATTTAAAGACACTATTAATAATATTTGTGTTATTACTTGTACCAGCTATGAAGAAGATGGATATTGTGTTGCTGCATGTTCCCCTAATTATTATATTTATGAAGCCTAAAAATCATGCTACGAATTTGGTTGTCCAGAAGGAACCTATAATCAAATAAATACATTAAATTGTTATTCGTGTGCTGTTGGATGTGCTACGTGTACTGATGGCACATCTAATTAATGTATTACTTGTTTACCTAGTTATTTTTTATACGGAGTATCAACATGTACAAATATTTGCAATATAAATCCTGATCTACTTTAAGATTGGGTGAATGGTAAATGTGTGAAACAATGTCCTTCTGGAACTTTCTTACAATCTTTAGCAAATGGATAATTAGCATGTAAGGATACATGTCCAATTTATTATTACTCAAATATTTGTGTAACAACTTGTCCAAATTAAACATATATTGATGGATTAATTTGTAATTCATGTGCTGGTCCTTGTTCTGAATGTTATGGTGGAGAAGTAGATTAATGTACAAAATGTGATTCTGGATATTACATAGCTGATACTACATGTGTTGAGGTTTGTCCATCTACAAAACCTTATGCTAATTTAGCAACTTAAGCTTGTGTTACTAGTTGTCCAGATTATCTATATTTAGCTTAAAAAGTATGTTTTAGTTTTTGTCCAGGTTTTTTAGCAAATTATGAATTAGATGGTAAAAAAGAATGTGTTGAATAATGCTATTCTAATTCGTATTTATCATCAGGATAATGTTAGTTATGTGATCCTATTTGTAAAGAATGTTATGGACCTATAAATGGAAATTGTTTAGAATGTAAATCTCCTTACTTTTTATACTAATAAAAATGTTAAATTACTTGTCCATTTTATTCTGATTATACTGATAATACTTGCAAAGAATCTTGTCCATCAAACACAGTTATCTAAGGTATGAGATGCCAAACTTAATGCGATACAGGATATTTATTATACAGTTAATTTTGTGTTTTATCATGTCCAACTTTTACTTATAAAGTAGCAAATAATTGTATTCTTTGTAATTCTATTTGCAGAACATGTTTTGGATCGTCTGCAAATGAATGTTATACATGCATTGATAATTATTTATTGAATGGTAATACATGTACATAAACATGTCCCATTTTATATGATTACTAAACAAGTAAATGTTTAAGTACTTGTGGTACAAAATTAGAAGTTACTGATACTAAAAGTTGTGTTACTACTTGTCCTATAGGATATTTAAATTGTAATCAAAAATGTTTAAGTGTATTACCTGAAGGATACTATTCAGATGGAGTACAATGTTAAAAATGTAATACTAAATGTTCGAAATGTACATCACCAACTGTATGTTAAGCATGTAATTAAAATTTCTATTTACATTTATAAACTTGCAATAGCTTTTGTACTAATAAATATCTTTACATGGATCCAATATCCAGAGAATGTGTGTCCAAATGTCCATTTAATCTTTACCATTAAGAATCTTTTGATAAAAGATTTTGTGTTACAGATTGTCCTTAAAAACTTAATGATTAATGTGTTATTTCATGTCCAGATGGAATGTACTTAAAAGATACTTTCTGTACAAACTGTCCTTAAAAATGTCAATCATGTACTTCATCAACAAATTGTACTTCATGTAAAAATGATTATTTTTTGGAAAATGGTTTATGTTATTCAAGTTGTATTGTTGGTAAGACTGACTATAAAAATCATGTTTGTGTTGAAAATTGCGATGCAACATTGTTTGAATATTAAAATGAATGTTTAGAAAGTTGTCCCACAAATCCAATACTTTATTATCATAAAAATATTTGTATGAATTAATGTCCTACAAATACATTTTAGAACAATTAAGAATGTTTAGATTGTGATATATCATGTTTAACATGTATTGGACCATCACCTGATGATTGTATAATTTGCAAATAGAACTATTACTTGTATAATTAATAATGTGTTTTAACATGTCCAAATTTATATAATGAAATAGATTAAACATGTGTCATATCATGTCCTCCAAATCTTCTTTTAGATTAAAATAAATGTGTTTCAATGTGTAGTTAATATATGTATTTCAATACTTGTTTAACAACATGTCCACCTAAAACATATAATTACAATTTTAATTGTTATGATTGCTCATAAAATTGTCTAGAATGTAATTAATATGGTTGTTAAAAATGTGAAAACGGATCATTTTTAAATGATGGAATTTGTGGAAGTTTCTGTCCATATTTTTATAATTTTATTATGAATTAATGTGAGTAATAATGTCCAGATGAAACTTTTATTTTTATTGATTAATGTTATGCTTCTTGTCCAGCTAATACATATAATTATTATAGAGATTGTCTTTTAGAATGTCCCAAGAAAACAATTTTAATAGGATCAATTTGTTAATAATGTCCAGAAAGATGTTTAATTTGTAAAAATTAATATGAATGTTTAAATTGTGATTCACCTTACTTTTAATTTGAAGGATAATGTGTTGTAGGTTGTCCAAGTGTTTTACCATTCCAAAATACAATATAAAATGTTTGTCAATCTGAATGTTCACCAGATACGTTTGAAAAAGAATATCAATGTGTTAAAGAATGTGATTTAATAATCTATTAAAACAAATGTTTAAAACAATGTCCTTATGGATATTATGGAAAAGAAATATGTAAACCATGTAAATTAGAATGTAAAGCTTGTAATGATTTTAATATATGTACTGAATGCTAAGATAATTTTTATCTTGAGTAGAATTAATGTGATACATAATGTACAAAAATAAAAGATTTAAAATAAAAAAAATGTGTTGATTCATGTTCTTTATTTTTATATTAAAAAGTCTGTTATGAAACTTGTCCAACAAACACTTATCAATTTGGAAATAAATGTCTTTAAAAGTGTTAAGATGGATATTTTGGTTCTGAGGATTTTAGATGTGTAAAATGTCCATCTTAATGTAATACATGTTTAAATCTTGATTAATGTAATAGTTGTAAAATTGGATATTACTTATATTAGTAAAAATGTTTAGATTAATGTCCTGATAAACTATTTTCAAATCCTTTAATAAGTTAATGTACAACATCTTGTCCAATTAAAACTTATATATTTTAAAATTAATGTTTATATGAATGTCCCACTGATTATTTAAATGATACTGATAATTATAAATGTGTTTTAAAATGCAATGAACAGCAATATCTTAACAAAAATAGTTGTTATTCATGTTCAATAGAATGTAATAAATGCACTGATTTTGGTAATTAGAATTGTATATAATGTGCAACTAATTATAATTTAACTGAAGAAGGATATTGTTTTGGAAAATGCAAAGCAGGATATTATTAAACTGAGAAATCTTGTGAAAAATGTCTTCATAAATGTTTGACATGTGAAAATGGTTCTGAATGTTTGCAATGTAGAGGAACTAATAGAAATCCTATCGATTGTTTATGTCCTAAAGGTTATTATGATGATTAATACTATGATAATTGTTAAAAATGTCCATGTGAAGAATGTATTTCAGAATCTTAATGTGTTGTATGTAAAAATAATCTTCAAGTTCCAAATTGTTCATGTAATAGAAGACTTAATGATGATTGGTGTATTACATGTCAAATAGGATAAGTGAATATATACTATTCAGATGATCTAAACTCAATTATAGTATATTTTGGATATTTAATATCCGTTAATTTGATTAATCCTTTTTAACCCTCTAGTTGTTCATTATGGTTTGATTAAGCTGAGATCTTTGGAGATAATGCTTAATGCTATTTATCATGGGATAGATATTCAGTTAATATCTTACTAGAACCTTATGCTTCTGTTAATATTGGAGATTAATTGAGTTTCAAATAATCTTTCTATAGAGATGTTAATCAAGGTCTTTGTGATGGAATATACATTGATACATTTATTGAAAATATTGTGAAAGGACCATCTGCCTTAACTAAACCTTATATTCTGTTTGATGTTCCCTCAATTGTAAGTACATGTAAAACTATTTATATCAAATAAATTTTACTTGATGGAACAGCAAAGAAAATTTAAAATGTTTTATCTTGGTATCTACATGAAATGGATAATGATGACTATTATTTATAAATGGATGCATTCTTAGCAAATCAATTAAATGAATTTACTATTCCTATTAGTACCTTATCCCCTAATGTTACTTATACTATAACAGCAAAATATATTAATTTCCTCTAAAGAGTCAATTTCACAACATTCTCATTTACTACACTACCTTATCAAGTTCCTTATGTCTATCTTTAATATAATCCATTAATTGCAAGAGTTTACGTTTTTGATTGTTAAATCACGTATGCTGATATGAAAAACGAATTTAATTTAGCTATTCACATTTTCGATTCTGACAATTAAACTTACATTAATCTAATCCAAGAAATTAATCCCATTTATGAAATTCCTTTAAATGAAACTCTTCTACCTAAAGAAACCCCCTTATTTTTTATAGCATCAACTGGTAGTTCTGTCATTCATGAAGTTATTTATCTTCAATCCAAAAAAATTGATATAGAATTTTTATAAACAAATAGATTTATTGGATTAGATAATTAAATTAATGCCAGAGGTTTTGATAGAAATATTTAAAATGAAATATTAAGTACTATTAATATTGAATATTAATGGTAATGCAATAATTTATTCAATTTATAACCATGTAAAACTGAAGAAAATAAAATTATGCAATTTCCATCTAGAAGAATTGCTGATATTTATGCTGATAGTTAAAATACGACTTTTGTATTCTTTGCTAAAGCATCTAAAGGTAATAGATGGACAGTAAAAGAATAATTAATTGTAGTCACAGATTTTGATATAGAAGAAGAGTTTGTTTTAAATTAAGAGAAACCTACAAATTATATTAATGTTAATGATGAAATAACTATCTTGATTAGAAATAATTAGAAATACGCTTTTATTATGTAAGAATTTAAAATTCTGTCATCTATTAAAATTACAAGCAAAACTTTATAGTTTAGACTAGCAGGATTAGTTAATGATTACTCTAAACCTATTTATATTTATTTAGTTCCAGGTAATGAATCCATTTCATTTGGATTAAACAAACCTCCTTCCAAAATTTAATTTAGTATTGAACCTTTATAAGGAGATTCTCTAGATTACTTTAATTATTCAATTCTAAACTTAGAACCTGAATATACTGTTAGCATTTATTATTATTTTGAAAAATCTGTTCTTTAAAATGATGTTAATTTGTAATCTATAAACAATGGTTTGCCTTTAGTGACTTATTCAAAAGAAATCTCAGGTTCATTTTAGCTTCCTAATGGAATTGTTGATAATGCAATATCTGTTCTATGTTAAGTTGAATCAAATTATGGATCAAAATCTTATTTTGAATTGGACATTAAAGTGAAAAGAAAGAATTATGAAATAAATAAATTATATGAGTCTTTTCAAAGTTCAACTAATTTCTCAAATTTATAAAGTATACATACAATGACTAAATTAATTTAACTTGAATAGTAATAGGTATGCTTAAAATAATGCTCTGGTGTTGGTATTTGTGTTAATGATAAATGCAAATGTCCACCTGGATATTATTTTGAAGATTGTAGTGGAACCAAAGAATAATACTAAAATTTTACAAATTTAATTAAAAATGTAAAGGAATCTTTAATAAAAAATGCTATTACAAATAATGATGAATTTCGATTGTTTAGTTAATCTTTATTGTTTGTATCTACTTTAAAGGATTAAAATTATTCATATTCAATATCGGATAGCTAGTAAATATTGGAATAGTATGTTCTTAATGTAGAATAAAGATTAGAAAAAATAAACCAATATTCAATTAATCTTTAATATCAATCATCTGCTAATTTAAATTATTCTTAGATTGATATTAGATCACTTGTAAATAAGAATGATTTACATACAGCCCTAAAAAGTACAGTATTTATGTGGGAAAAAACTCTATTCACAGAAGATGCTGGAATATATGAATTATAAAATCGTCTAAGTAATTTCTTATCGAACACAATTGAATTGTCTTTATTTGCAATTTAACCTGATGAAATTATTGATTATTCTATTGATACAGCATATCTAAAAATTTAAAGAATTAATAATATATCAGATTTCATAGTTAATAGACTTTTGATCTAATCTACAGAAGATAAAACTAGTTAATTAGAATATTATGATTTTGTTAAAGCAATATATATCCGTAATTACTTTGCTTTTGATGGTTATTATCCATATCCCTAGTAGCTTTATCCACTTTATGATTATTAAATACGACATCAAAATAGAAAATAAAATATTTAACTAAAGACTTATATTTCATATAAGTTTGGTATCTAAAATGATACTTTCAATCTGGTTTGTTTAATTAGAAATTCTCTTACATATGAATGGTCAAATTAAAATTGTACCTTGAATTAAGTTAATTAAACATATTTTTGCAATTGTACTACACTTGCTCCAACTACAATTTGTAATGATTATGACTTTCTCTATTAAGGTACTGCTTAATTTAATTTGCAGATTCCTAATCTATTATATATTATTTACTTTTTTTAATTAATTATATTAGGAATTTTTATTTGCAAGGTGAAATCATTAAAAAATTAAAAATCTCTTGATCAAACCAAATTTGGTTAAGTATTAAAATTAGCAAGAAAAGATAAAATAGCTGTTTTTGGCAATCAAATTGTTCCAGTAGATGATGAAAAACAATCATCTCCTATATAATAATCATAACCTCAATAAAAAGAACATAATGTCCTTAAAGACAAATTTAGTTTTAATAATTTTTGGGTACTTAATTAGAATTAATATTTAGAAACATCATTGTCTTACATCTCTAATTTACAAGAATCTATTTTATTTTAGTACATCTCTACGTTCAATTTTAATTATCCTAAGATGGAACTAAGCAATCATTATTGGAGAAATTCTTCACATTTTTGGATTCTAATATAATGTCTCCATGTGGATCATCTTATCATCTATCATATTTAGCAGAATTTTTGAATTCTTTTTAAAAGTAATCTTATTGTATTAATTTATTTAGACTTAAGCTAAATACTTTACTTATATGAAATAATTTGTCATTCTTTTCATAATAAAAATATTTCTATCACTTGTAATGATTGCTACATTTTTATTTGGAATATATGTTTATTTTATGATTAACAATCAAACTAATTTGGTATTAAATACAAATTTATTAATAGATTATTTCCTACTCTTTCGCAATCTTAATGGATTTATTGTTTTTAGACATACTCTTATTTACCACCAATAAGTTCTTTGGATAGGAAAAAAAAAGATTAGTTAGAAAAAAAATTAAAGAATTTTAATCTATTGCAAAAGCATAAAACTTTCATAAATTGTGATTTTATTAATAAATCAATACAATATTAAAATATGGATTTATATCTATTGAACTAGAACTTAAATTATAGTATTAAATTAAATATGATATTTATTAAAGAATCTTCAATTAATTGAACAAAAGGAATTGTTATGGAGAAAGAGAAATCATTCTTAAAGAAAAGCAATAATAGTTACATAATAGAGAAGTGTGATAATCAATCTTAAATTTGTAAGATTAAAACTATTTATCAAAATATAAATATATACCATTAGATCAAGTGATGACAATTCAATTTTAAATGCTTATATATAGCTCTTAATTTAGTATTAATGCTCTCCCTATTTATTTAAGACAAATAAAAAAAAGAATAGAAATATTATTGAATTAAAAGAAAACTTAATGATTTTAAAAAATATTAGTGTGTTAAATTTGTTTAAGAATATATTATTCTATTAGTTGAAGAAAGCCAGGATTTTATCAAAAATAGCAATCGAATCAAGTGTTTGACAAAATATTTGTACTACAATTTTAATAATACTTAAGGATTAATAATTAGATTTTNTCATTGTCTTACATCTCTAATTTACAAGAATCTATTTTATTTTAGTACATCTCTACGTTCAATTTTAATTATCCTAAGATGGAACTAAGCAATCATTATTGGAGAAATTCTTCACATTTTTGGATTCTAATATAATGTCTCCATGTGGATCATCTTATCATCTATCATATTTAGCAGAATTTTTGAATTCTTTTTAAAAGTAATCTTATTGTATTAATTTATTTAGACTTAAGCTAAATACTTTACTTATATGAAATAATTTGTCATTCTTTTCATAATAAAAATATTTCTATCACTTGTAATGATTGCTACATTTTTATTTGGAATATATGTTTATTTTATGATTAACAATCAAACTAATTTGGTATTAAATACAAATTTATTAATAGATTATTTCCTACTCTTTCGCAATCTTAATGGATTTATTGTTTTTAGACATACTCTTATTTACCACCAATAAGTTCTTTGGATAGGAAAAAAAAAGATTAGTTAGAAAAAAAATTAAAGAATTTTAATCTATTGCAAAAGCATAAAACTTTCATAAATTGTGATTTTATTAATAAATCAATACAATATTAAAATATGGATTTATATCTATTGAACTAGAACTTAAATTATAGTATTAAATTAAATATGATATTTATTAAAGAATCTTCAATTAATTGAACAAAAGGAATTGTTATGGAGAAAGAGAAATCATTCTTAAAGAAAAGCAATAATAGTTACATAATAGAGAAGTGTGATAATCAATCTTAAATTTGTAAGATTAAAACTATTTATCAAAATATAAATATATACCATTAGATCAAGTGATGACAATTCAATTTTAAATGCTTATATATAGCTCTTAATTTAGTATTAATGCTCTCCCTATTTATTTAAGACAAATAAAAAAAAGAATAGAAATATTATTGAATTAAAAGAAAACTTAATGATTTTAAAAAATATTAGTGTGTTAAATTTGTTTAAGAATATATTATTCTATTAGTTGAAGAAAGCCAGGATTTTATCAAAAATAGCAATCGAATCAAGTGTTTGACAAAATATTTGTACTACAATTTTAATAATACTTAAGGATTAATAATTAGATTTTAGTATGGCACATAAAAAATTTTAAATTCAGCTTAGAATAATTTTGATGCTGACAATCCTTGATTAGATAAAAAATTATATTAAAGATTTATTAAATTTTGGATATGTTTTTTAAAAAAATACTTAAGCAACACCCATATCAATCAAGTACAAATAGATTATTAAGACTTGAATCAATAGGATAAACCAATTAAAAACAATTGTTTTATGATAATTATTTTAAAAAATTAAGATGAATCTTAAGATTTTAATTCATCTAAATCAATCATCATAGATATTAGTTGGTTATCCTATAATAGCTTGAGATTGGAATTCTAAAATAATAATTAAATATTACACAGATCAATTAATTAAAAAATGTCCCTAGAATAAAATACAATAATTATAGAGCTTTAGATTATGATTAATTACTGTAAGTCAATAAGTAGGAATACTAATTATGTTAATTTTATTGTTTTGAGATTAAACTGAATCAGTTTAAAAATCATTTTATTTTTGTAATAATAATATATTCAATAATTCATTAAAATCAAAGATTTATAATTTTTTTTATTTTATTTATTAAATATTAATTAATTAAATAAATGGGAGCTGGTTCGCCTATTTCAAAATAAAAAAAAGATGAAAAAAAAAAAATAATAACTTTTTGTGACAGAGATAAACCAGACAACTAATCCTTATAATCTATGTTAATTACTTAAGAAACTAAAATAAATGACATCATCAATTATATAAAATAAAAAAATGGAGCTTAAAATGTAACTCTGTTCTATGATTAATATGAGATTGAAGATAATTAGTTATTACTATATAATTATCTTGAATTATTACCCACCAGAAGATTTGATTTTAAAATACATTAGGCGCAACAATAAATACAATCAAATTAAAATTAAATTAATAAAGCATAAATTACAACTAACAATCAGCAAAAAAATACTCAAACAAATTAAATGCAATATCATTAAGGAACAAGTAATTAAAATGCTAATTTCAATTAGAAAGAATTTTAAAATATCAATTAGAACAATACATCTTCTTTAATTTAGAATTTTGATAAATAATAATAACCCTAATAGATGAGTCAATCTCAATAGAATCCAAAAATTGTTTCTGTTAATTAGTAAGATAATACAAACTACTAAAATAATGAAAATTTAGAATAAAAATAAATTCTATTATATTTATTAAGTTTGGCTTAGTATAAAATTCAAGGTTTTCAAAAAGAAGTTGAAGAATTATAAAAAAATAACTAAAATTTACAATAAAGAATTGAAGGTTTGTAAACTGAAAAGAAAATTTTAGAAGAAGAATTAAAAAATAAGTAATTTTCTTATAATATTGAATTGACATGTAATCTCCTAAAGACATAATAATAAGAAACTCTGAAATGGATGGATAGCTAAAAATCAAACATAACTTCATAAAATAAATTAAATAATGCTATCGATATCGAAAAAAGCAAAATAACATTCAAAAATCAATGTAACCATATATTAGAAGAAAATAAAATTTAATAGATTTTAATAAAATCTTTGGAAAACAAAACAATAGCTTAATGTGATTAATGTAAACCTAAATTATCTAATAATATTTTAATAAAGATGGGATTTATCGGATAAACTTATAAAGAATTCTAGGCTTCGTATGAAATTGCATAATTATATTTAAATCTTTAATAAAATTCAAAATTTTAACTTTATCAATGTTAATAAAACTTTTGTTCCTTTTTTTTTATTTGGAATGAGAAATTTGATAAATAAAAAATGCAAAGTTATTTATGTCCGATGTGCTTACAGAATTAATTCTAGAAAATTAAATGATCATTATAGTTTCATATAAAAAGTTCAAATATGTTTTTTTATAAGCTCTTTATGTCTTCATTATCTAAACAAAAAGTTTTTAATTAACCATCAACTGAAGCTCCAGTCTTATAGACCTAACAATCATTAGCAAATATATAAAACCCCTAAACTTACTAATTTAAAATCATTTAGAGGTACTTTCACAAATAGCCGAACTCCATTCTTTATTTCTTAAATTAAAAGATACTTTAATATTTTCTAAGCCTAACTACCTTTTTTATGAAAATTTATAATTGCAGTATATAATTTAATGATTATTTATTGATACTACACTGTAGTTTCTCTCTTTAAATTTATTCAATGTTTTTCAGAATATATATTGTTAATTTTTTCATATAACTTCTTGAGATATTTTTAGAAAAGATCAGGATTTTTTTTAATATTATATTCTCTAATCTGACTAAATCTTTAAAATAAGACTTGTTTGATATTTCTAAATACCAAGTATCATAAAATTGTTAGTTATAAATGTCTTATATTTCCTTCTCTCCATTTTTTACAGTAACCATTTTATGATGATAACTTTTCACTTTCTGACAAATCAATTTATTTTAATCAAGAATATTATGATTCATTTTCAATAAAAATGCCTAAAATTAGATGTGATCGAGAATTTTTGTCATGAATTTAAGTTTTTCTGTAGATTCTTTTTTTTTCACCTTCACTAAATATTCCATAGATAGATCAAAGTTTTTTTACTGTCATTATTTTTGTTATATAGTTATTTAAATAAAATTTTACAAATTCAATGCATCCCATTTTAAATTATTTATCATTTCCCAAATGTGCATTTTGAATCTAAATGAAGTTCAATTAATTCTTAATATATTGGAACAAATTAAATAGCATATTTGATATTTTCATCAAAAAATATATCTCTGAAGGCTAATGAAAATATTCCAAGATATTATGGGTGCCTAAAATTGCGAATAGTTTTCCAAAACTTAGTTTAACTCGTGGATTATTGTTGTAGTATATTCTATTTTAATATTTTATTATACAGTTTATTTCCTTTTTCACATTACTCAATCAAATGTAAATGATTTATTTTAAGAATTAATATTACTCTTATCATAGAACCATTGTGTATCTTTACATATTTTAAAAAAGGACAAACCTCTTATACAAACTTATAACATCTTTAAATTCAATTTTCAACTTATATAAATAAATAAAGTGCAAAAATTTATTTAATTTTAATTTTTTATAAATTAAAAACAATTTAAGAACTGCAGTTCCAGTCAGGCTATGCTATTTAAAATATTTTGGAATATTCAATATTATTAATAGTACTTATTTTTAGCAAACCTTTTTTTGCAATTTTGATTAAATAATTTAAAATAAAATATAAATTTATTTCAAATATTTTATAATATCCAAACAAAATATAAAAAGTTAAAAGTTTAAACTCATATTTGATATATCAATTTATATGGTATTACATGTGAATTATTTCAATTTATTTCCAAAGTAAAAATAGCTTTATCAATCTATCATTAATTATATTAATTACTGTATTCTTAAGTATATATATCAATCAATATTAATAAGTTAGCCTTAATATTAAATACTTATAATTAAACAATGAAAAACACTCATAAAATGAAAGGATATCGTCTTGACATTAAAATTAATAAATCTGCTTACCTTGATTTTAAAAAATAGATGCTTCCATAAAAATTTGAAATTCCTAATGATAGCAAGAAGCCTTTGGGGATTTAATTTCTTCAAGCTAATTTGGATGAGGAAAACTAAAAAAACAATATTTTTGTAAGTCTTTTATCTAGCTCTTCTTAGAATGTGACTGAATCACCATAATTGAAAAAATATCTAATTCAATCATTTATCACAGAATTTCCTTTATTATCATCTTTAAATAAAATAGAAATGTACTTAAATAGATAATAAAATGAATTGAAAGGATAATCCAAAGTTGAAGAAATGAAATCTTAGAAAAATCATAGCTAAAGCACTGAAGTCTATTCTATAAAAAAAGTAGCATGAAATTATTTATATGTTAATTATGATTATCATATTCTTAGAATATTCAATAGAATAAGCAAAAATTTCATAAAATAAGTTTAGGAATCTTTTATTCATTATTGTGTTAACTTGGAATTTTTCACAAAATTATTGAAATCGATCAATCCAAACATAGTGATTTCTTTTACTGACAATCTCAATTTTTGTTAAATGATTTAATAACCTTAAAAAATCAAATAATATCATAATTCAAATTCTTTAGTTTCATGATTTTATAAGCATTTAAACCCATTAATTATTTTTTGATTCTTTTATTATGAATATGATAGTTTTTATTCTATTCTTCCTAAATAGAAATAAAGACTTAACTCCAACATAAAATTTCCTAAATATAGTTCATTTAGAATTAAAATTTATTAAGGGCATAAACAATTAAATATTTATTTTTTTTTCGTATTTAACTCCCTTATTGATTATTTCATTTCTTTTTTCTAGCCTAATCAGATAAAAATTTTATTTAGAAAATAAAAGCCGAATATCATAAAAATTAAGAATATCTGATCCAATAACTTTACAATTACTTTTTAATTGAATGATATATACTAATTTATTTATTTAACAAATAAAAGATATTTGATAAAGTTATATTTTGAATGTCTCATACTTTGTTTTATTTTATAGTAGAATACATAATAATTTCAATAATCAATTATTAAAATAAAATTGTTATGGATGATCTTTATTAAACAGAAATTAGACATAGATATCATTCTTCAATGACATATTAAGAATATTTAGATAGCCATGATTAATCACCTCCTACTCCTAAATTAATGTATTTTACTTTAATAATGTTAAGGGCTAAATAATCTCCACAAACTGTCGAACCCTTAATACTTGAACCTCCTAAAGGACCTAAGATTCATTAGTAAAAATTAGCTATATACACACCTGATGAGGTCATTCTAGAGGAATCTGAAACCGATGAAAAGCAACGATCAAATTAAATTCCTAGAATCCCATGCCAAAAAGCATTAATTGAGCACGTAAATAGTATTATAAAATTATAGAATGTTAGAATACGTAGTCAAAGTGAGAATTTAGGTTTTTCTGTATTTAGATTCCTTTAGTAAAAGAAAAAAGGCTGATTAATTATAAATTGTTTTATTCATTTTTTCACTTACAGGAAATATCTCTTTGAAATTATCTTGATTTAAAGAGAGTATTTCTTAAAAATCTAATGGACTTTATTAATTTAAACATTTAATGCCAATTTTCTATTAATTCGTATTATTTATGATAAATTTGATTTCAATACTTTTCAATACATTTGAAGTAATTTCTCAAAATTATAATAATTACTTTATAATAATTTTATGATATACTTACCAATCTTTAAAGAAGTATTAAGTATTTCATACTAATACTAACTAAATTCAAAAAGATAACCTATAAAAAAGAATTTTCGTTATTTTCAAATATAAAAGTAAAATTAATAATATTTATGATTATTTCTTTGGAATAATGAAAAAAAATATTAAAGTAATATGTTTTTGCTAAGAATGATAAGAATTAATTATTATTTCATCTATTATTAATAATTGGCAATTATAATACAATATATATTTTACACATCATAAATCATCAGAAACAGATTTTTTTCCTTATTTATCAATAAATTCACTAAGGGCTTCTAGTGTAAATGGCCCATCAAATGTTACAATTTATCTTGTTTTAGCATTGTACCATCTTATCATTGGAACTTCTTTAATGAATTAATCTTGAACCTATGAATAAAAATGTTTAGGATACTTCGTTTTCGCTTGCATCAAACATACCAAAAGCTTTTTATCCCTTATATTTTAAAAATATTTATTCAAATATAGGAGTAAACTATTAGCATATCTTACACCAACTTGAATAAAAGTAAATAAAAATATTATCATGTTTAGGTAAATCTTCACCAACAACAGTAAGTATTTATTTTTCCCAATTCTCATTTTTAATAGGTGTTTAACTTTTATAATAAGGTTGTAATTTATTGTTAAGGAAATTATTAACAAATTTTTTAAGATCATTTAAATCTGAAAATTATGATCTAAATTTCTTTTAAGAGTTATTTTAATCATAAATAACTGCTAAAGGACGTTAAATACCTTTGATTCCTAAGAAATTTAAAAGTCTGTCTGTTACTTAATTCAATTTAACTAATATTGTATTAATCCTATAATTATCGATATTATATTTACTCTTTTTGATGTATTTTAGCTAAATCTCGATATTCTTTTTCATCAAAAATAAATAAAACTGGTTTTTTAGGTTCATAAAAAGCAGTTTCAACAGACTCTTGTGTGAATTCTTAATAGTATTTATCTTCATGATCATCAACAAATTTAAATACTTTTTCATAAGTAATTTCTCCATCATAATCATATCTATTGATACCTTTTTCTGTAAACATTACAAGTGTTGTCTCATCATCGACACTAAGTAATGATCTAGCATTAGGTAAAGTAGTATAAGTAAAATGAATGTGATGTTTTAAAGTTTTAAGCCATTTCAATTCTTACTTAAATGAGTCATTAAAAACTAAAACACTAATATTATGAGATTCATGAATCCATCTTATTGTTGGTTCTGAATCAGATTCTGTAATATATGATAATGCTCTTAAATCTGCCCATTATTCTAATTTTTTTTATTCCCATTCTCCTGAATGTTCTGTGTATAATCCTTTTACATATAATCTTAGAATAGGATATCTATTAAGTTCATAATTCTTAATTCTAGCTACTGGTATACCAATACTTCCAGGTGTACCAACATTTATCATTTCAGATGCTTTTTCTAATTCTTCTTCCAATCTTTAACAATGATTACAATCATCACGAGTAAAAAAGATTAAGGTGTAGTTCTGTTTTTATACCCATTTTTCTAAATTTGTGATGTTAGTCATTTTACAAGAAGCTAGAACAACTAAAAGAATAAAATACACGTAATGCATTAATTTTATTAATGGGAAACTAAAGCGAAAAAAAAATAGCTTAATTCAAATAAAAAGTCATTGGATATTACTTTTATCCTACAACTGCTATTTGCATATTGTTTCTGATTATTAACTTATATTATGGCTATGCTTTAACAATTTGGGGAGCAATAGTTATGGCAATCATAACTTTAATATAATACTTTTGTTATAATTAGATTAGTAAATCATTAGATTTAGGTTTAAATGCAGATTCTTATTCTATATATTTAGATGTTTTAGCTTTAAATGGAATCATTCAAGTAATTTTTAAACTATTTTAGCTTGGAAGCACAATTTTTGACTTTTTCTGGTATGGTTATTGGATTATTCCATTAATTTTGTTGTATAAAGGTTCCTAAATTATTTGGGGTTGGTTATAGAAACCTTAATATGCTGAAGATGATAAAAAAGATAAAAAGAAAAAAGAAAATAAACAAAAAGTTAAATATATCAAGTGAATATTAATAAATATAAATATTTGGTATTCATCAATCATTCTTTTTCTTATGTTGATTATCTTACAAAATTCTTTATTTATTTGGATATTTAATATCAATAAAAGTATTGAAGTAGGTATTGCTTTGATAAATTTGATTGTTCAGTTTTATTAATTAAAATGTACTTTATTTATTTTCTATTTAAATTAGACAATTCATAAACACTTAAAATATATAAAAGACAACAGAACCAATGAATTTTCTTTCTGCAATTTTTCAGTTTTATCTATTCCAAATATATATTATTTAACTCCAATGAAATATAGTGTCTTACCTACTTTCTTTATAGAATCCATATTTAAACTCATTCAAAAAGCTTGGTTATAAAATTCTTAACAAAGAGTAATATCTGACTATAAATAACAAAATTATTCAAAAATCAATTTAAAAATATTTTTTGGACTATAAATTTCTTTTATTTTTATCCTTTATATTATTTATAGCTTAAAATTCTTTCTAAAACCTATTAATTAATATCATTTATGTATCTTCTTATAAAACAAAAACTATCCTAACTTTTTATTTTTATCCTAACTGTTCAAGNAAAAGAATAAAATACACGTAATGCATTAATTTTATTAATGGGAAACTAAAGCGAAAAAAAAATAGCTTAATTCAAATAAAAAGTCATTGGATATTACTTTTATCCTACAACTGCTATTTGCATATTGTTTCTGATTATTAACTTATATTATGGCTATGCTTTAACAATTTGGGGAGCAATAGTTATGGCAATCATAACTTTAATATAATACTTTTGTTATAATTAGATTAGTAAATCATTAGATTTAGGTTTAAATGCAGATTCTTATTCTATATATTTAGATGTTTTAGCTTTAAATGGAATCATTCAAGTAATTTTTAAACTATTTTAGCTTGGAAGCACAATTTTTGACTTTTTCTGGTATGGTTATTGGATTATTCCATTAATTTTGTTGTATAAAGGTTCCTAAATTATTTGGGGTTGGTTATAGAAACCTTAATATGCTGAAGATGATAAAAAAGATAAAAAGAAAAAAGAAAATAAACAAAAAGTTAAATATATCAAGTGAATATTAATAAATATAAATATTTGGTATTCATCAATCATTCTTTTTCTTATGTTGATTATCTTACAAAATTCTTTATTTATTTGGATATTTAATATCAATAAAAGTATTGAAGTAGGTATTGCTTTGATAAATTTGATTGTTCAGTTTTATTAATTAAAATGTACTTTATTTATTTTCTATTTAAATTAGACAATTCATAAACACTTAAAATATATAAAAGACAACAGAACCAATGAATTTTCTTTCTGCAATTTTTCAGTTTTATCTATTCCAAATATATATTATTTAACTCCAATGAAATATAGTGTCTTACCTACTTTCTTTATAGAATCCATATTTAAACTCATTCAAAAAGCTTGGTTATAAAATTCTTAACAAAGAGTAATATCTGACTATAAATAACAAAATTATTCAAAAATCAATTTAAAAATATTTTTTGGACTATAAATTTCTTTTATTTTTATCCTTTATATTATTTATAGCTTAAAATTCTTTCTAAAACCTATTAATTAATATCATTTATGTATCTTCTTATAAAACAAAAACTATCCTAACTTTTTATTTTTATCCTAACTGTTCAAGTATTATTAATTTAAAATAAATTATAGCTAAGTCATGTTTACACGATACAAGTCATGTATAAATGCTAAAGTTCTTGTGACAATAAATTAAATTTCATTAAAGATGGATATTAAAAAGGTTGATTGTATTTGATGAAAATTGTGTTTATTGCTTAAGGAGATATGTTGTTTCTCTTTTTAAAATTGCAAAATTCAATAATGATTTAGTCAGTTCAATAGCAGCGTTAAAATATTAAAGAGTTTATTCATGTGGAATATAACAGAGCATTTTAAAAAAATTCTTTTTCCTGTCTTGATTTTCATCAAATAACTGTTCCTAATTCATCCCTTATAAATGCTATTGTCAGTCTATTTTGTTGACTTTGCCATAAATATGGATTATTTTTTTTTCGTTCGACTTAAAGCTATATAATACTTTTAAAACTTAAAATATAAATTCGATATTTTTGTCTAAATAGAAAGCGGCATTGGATAATCCTAATAAATATTAAAGGGGAATAAAAAAAATACTTTCAGAAACCTTCTCTTAAATCTTTTTTATTATTATACTTTTGAATGAAATTAGCTATTCAATTCTCAAAAAATTTCATTAAAATTTTTACTAAACAATGAATTTATTAAATAAAAATAACAAATAATTGTTCATTTTCTATTATATAATATTTAACTTATTAAATAATTTCATTCATTCTATTTTTATATTTGTTTAAGTTATTTTAGTTCGTTTACTCTTTTTCGTATATTTCTTTTTTTATTTTCCCCTAAAAACCTATTTGAACTAAATATAATTATATCAATTAGAAGGATATCAGCTAATATTGCACCGGTATATGAAATAATCTTAATTATATATTTAAATTACTAATTTTGTTTGGTTGTTTATCATAAAATATAAATATAATCCAAATAAGAATGTTGAAGATAAAAGTAAAAATATTAAGATTTTAATTATTCCACCAACAATTGGCTATCTCATAACAAAAAAATACTTAATTTGTTTCTAAAAATAGAATAAATTATACTTTAATTAAACTTTCACTAAATCTTAAGATTAAGATTGATGCAAGAACGATCCAAATAGAAACTTAATATTCAAATTATGATAAACTTAAAACTTCTCCAACAATTAATGCACAATTCCATCTCAATAATATTAAGAGAGATCTCATAAATGGGCTAAGATAATACAATTATTTATATATCAATTATGATAAGCAATGATATTTCTATATATACATAAAATTACGTACCCAAAAATAATTAAAATGAAATTTATTGCTGTTTTAATTTGTTTTGTCAATTTCCTGTTTTACTATTAGCTCTTTTTCGTCTTTCTCTTATTCAGCATGGGAGATTTTGTTACCAACTATTTTTGTTTTGCTTCTTTTTGCTATTTTAAAAACACGACCAAATTTCGTATTTTCAATTAATTTTTCGTTTTCTGATACTTTTGCTTTGCTCCAAAATATTCCTAAAATAACTAATTGTGTAAAGTAAAAGATATAAAAAATATTAGGAAGAACTAATTTGAATTCTGGTGTGCCTTGATAAATATTATCGTAGTCATTACAAATTGTTGTAGGGGAAAGAGTTGTACAATTACAAAAGTAAGTTGAATTTACTGAAGAAATAGTACAATTGCTACTAGACCATTCATAAGTTTTGTAGTTTCTTTATAAACAAACTAAATTTGTTGTATCATTTTAAATGCCAAATTTATAGGAAATAGGTTAATTTAATTCTATATTTTCTTTTCGATTTGACTATCTGATTTAAAAACTATATAATGGATAAATTTATGATGGATATGGGAAATACCCATCAAAAGCATAATAGTTTCTAATATAGATTGCTTAAACGACATCATAACTTGTCTATTATTAATAGCTTTGGATTTCTTCTAAAATTCTATTTGAAAATTAAGGGATTGTTTTAGAATTATAAATAGTTATGGATGCAGTATCTATTGAAAAATCTATTTTTTCATTTGGATTTAATGCAAAGATAGATAATTCAATTATATTATTTATAAAGTTGCCTAAATAATTTTGTAGTTAATAAATGTTTGAACCTTAAGTAAAGATGGTCTTTTCCCACATAAAAACAGTGCTCTTAAGGGCAACATGTAAATCATTTTTATTAATTAAAGAACGAATGTCTATTTGGGAATAATTAAAATCTTCAGTAGATTAATATTATAAATTTATTGAGTGTTAATTGATCTATTCTAATCTATAATTTGTGTTTTATATATAAGATTATAATATGGTTTAACAATCCTCTAAACTTATGGTATTACTTGAGTTAGATTATTATAAAAACAAAAGTGATTGACTAAACAATTTCATATCGCCATTATTATTTATAGGTTTTTTGATCAAGAATGATGTAACTTAATTTAAAAAGTCATAAAATTATTTTTATTAATCTTTATTTCCACTACAATCAGCAAAGTAATATCCAGGAGGACATTAACATTTATTATTCACACATATTCCAACACCAGAACACTGTTTTAAACAAACCTCCTATTCTTCTAATTAAATTAATGCAATCATAGTGTGAAGACTTTACAAATCTTCAAAATTAGTTTTATTTTTTAATGATTTGTATAATTATTAAAATTCATAATTTTTTGTAACAATCTTAATATCTTATTTCAAGTAAGATTTAGCACCAGAAAATGATTGAATTTCACATAGAACTGATATTGAATTATTAGCGATTCCATTTGGTAATTAAAATTATCCAGAAGTTTCTTTTGATTTTGTTATCAATGGAATTCCATTGATTGTAGATTATATGTTTACATCATTTTCTAGAATAGATTTTTCAAAATAATAATAAAAACTTATTAAATTTCCCTCTTAAATATTTGTAAGAGTATAATAAAAATAGTCTAAAGATTCCCCTATTAATGGTTCTATATTTAAAGTTCCCTCTTTAGGTGGATCATTCAATTTCAAAGCTATTGATTCATTTCCTGGTATTAAATAAATGTATATTGGATTATTATAATCAGTTGTTAAACCAGCTAATCTAAATTTAATTGATAAACTTGATATTTTAAAAGATTCTAAAATTTTATATTATTGTATGATAAATGCATATTTTTATTATTTTTTTATCAAAATTGTCGCTTCATCATTTGCATTGATGTAATTTTAAGGTATATTATTATTAATATAAAATTCTTCCTCAATATTAAAGTCAGTTATGACAATCAGTTATTCTTTAACAGTCCATCTATTACCTTTAGAAGCTTTTACAAAAAATACAAAAGTTGTATTTTAACTATCAGCAAAGATATTAACAATTCTTCTAGAAGGAAATTGCATAATTTAATTTTCATCTGTTTTACAAGGTTATAAATTGTGTAAATTATTACATAGCCATTCATAAATGATTCCTCTTGTGCTCAAAACCTCATCTTTTATATTTCTATCATAACCTCTTGCATTAATTTAATTATCTAAACCAATAAATCTATTATTTTGCAAAAAATTTATATAAATCTCTTTTGATTTTAAATAAAACACTTCCTTTATTATTGAACTTCCAGTTGATGCACTAAAATATAAGGGAGTTTCTTTAGGAAGGAGAGATTCATTTAAAGGAATATTATAAATTGGATTTATTTGATAAGAAGTTTACAAATATGTCTCATTATTTTTACCTTATATCTCTATAATAATATTGAATTCATTTTTCATATCTTAAAAAGATACATGACAATCAAAAACATAAACTTTTGCCATTAGAGGTTCAAATGATAAATATACATAAGGTGCTTGTATAGGTAGAGTTGTGAATGTAAATGTAGTGAAATTAACTCGCTAAAAAAAATTAACATACTTCGCTGTTATTGTATATGTAACATTAGGTACTAAGGTTCCTAAAGGAATTGTAATTTCATTTGATTGACTAGCTAAAAATTCATCCATTTGCAGAAAATATTCATCATTTTCCATCTCTTTTAGGGTCCAAGATAGAACATTTTAGATTTTTTATCCAGTACCATCTAGTAAAATTTATTTAATTAATGTATATTTGCATGTACTTATAAAAGAAGGAACATCAAAGAGAATATAAGGCTTTATAAAGATTTAAGGTTCTTTAACTTTATTCTCAATAAATTATTCAATAAAAATACCATCACAAATACCCTAATCTACATCTCTATAAAAAGAACTCTTAAAAGTCAACTGATCTCCAATCGTAACAGATGCATAAGGTTTTAATATAATGTGAACTGAATATCTATTCCATGCTAAATAACACTATGCATTTTAGCCAAATATTTCTGAATTATCGAACCATTAAGAACAGTTTGAAGGTTAAAATGGATTGATTAAATTAACAGAAATCAAATAACCAAAGTATACAATTATTTGATTAAGATCATCAGAATAATAGATTTTGACTTTTGCTACTTTACAAGTGATACACCAATCATCATTAAGAACTCGATCACAATTACATTTTGGAATTTGGAGATTATTTTTACATATAAGGCAATTATCACTTGATGTGCATTCATCACATGGGCATTTTTTGCAATCATCTTAGAATTCATCATCATAGTATCCTTTTGGACAAGAACAATCTTAAGCATTTCTATTAGAGCCCCTACATTTAGTACAATCAGTTCCATTTAAACATTTTTAACATTTATGTAAGCATTAATAACAAGAATTATCTTATTTGTAATATCCATCTTTACAATTACCAATACAAAGACCATCTTCATTTAATTAAAAACCTTTTGCGCATTTAATGCAATTATTATTTCCTTTTCCTGTGCATTAATCACATTCTATAGAACATTTTAAACAATTTTTTTTGCTTAAATATTATTAAGATCCACAATTTTTTACACATTAATAATTTTCCATATCATTATAATATTCAGAAGGACATTCAAAAAGACAAGAATTATAAAATATAAATGTTGTTTAAGGACATTTCGTAGAGCATTCATTAAGAATAGGATTTGAAAAAAATTATGAAGGACATTAATCTAAACATTGTTTATTATGTAAATAATATCCTATATTGCATTTGGTGCATTCTAAATTATTGTTACAATTAACACATTAGGAGGGACACTTTTAACATTTATAATCTGTAGAACCATAATAACCATCAATACAATTTAAGACACATTCATTTCCTTATTCATAAGTTTTTTAAGGACAGGTTTCATAACATACATTTTTGTATAAAAAATTGTTGCAAACATCCACACATGATTTTGATTTTAAATCTTTTATTTTAGTACATTATGTTTCACATTAATTAAATTCAAGGAAGAAATTTTCACTACATTCAGTACAAACTTCAAAACTCGTACAAGCCTTACATTCTAATCGACATGGTTTACAATAATCATTGCCATAATATCCAGTAGGACATGTTTTTAAACATAATTTTTAGTGAATTATTAGATTGCACTCCTTGACACATTAATATCCTTTTTCATAAGATTCGGGAGGACAAGCTGTAACACATTAACCATTAGCCACATCTTCAAATGGTAATTATAAAGGACATTAAACAATGCAATAACCATTAAATAAATAATATGGGTTTTCACATTTTAAACACTCATAATCATTCTTACAAATTAAACATCTTTCAGAACATGAAATACATACATTATTTAGCATAACTGTTGAAGATGGACATGCCAAAAGACATTAATTTTTATATTAATAAGTGCTCACTGGACATTTAGAATAGCAATGATCTATATATACAAAGGTATCTTTTGGACATAATTGAGTACATTGATTGTTTACTTCATTATAATAGTATGGACAATAATTATTGCATAAGCCATCATACAAAAATGTACCAGAAAAACAAATTGTACACCCAATAGAATTACATTCTTGACAGTTTTCAGGACAATCAAAACATTTAGAATTAGAAGCATAAGTTAATGGTGGACAAGCATTCACACAATTATTAATATATTGATAAGCACTACAAATTTCTACACATTTATCTTAATCTTTAAACAGACTTGTAGGACATGTGACAACACATTCTTTATTTACTTCATCATATAAAAATGAACATGTATTTGAACAAATTTAATTATCCAAATAATATCCATCTTAACAAGTGACGCAATCTTTATCTGCAGGTCCTATGCACGTTAAACAAGATGCATGACAATCTACACATTCTCTTTCGTCTTAATATGTATTATTTGGGCAACCAAGAGAACATATCTTTTTATTTTTATATAAAACTGGATCTGTCGGGCAATTTTCTAAACATTCATCTACATATTCATACAAAGAAGCATCACATTCCTCAACACATTTAATGTTTTTTCTATCATTTTTTCCAGTAACACAACTTTGAAAACATAATTCCTAATAAAAATAATATCCAAATAAGCATTTTGTGCATTTTGTATCAGATTCACATTCTTCACAATTTTAAGGACATTTTGTACATACTTTATTTAGTGAATACATTCCTTTTGGACAAGCTGATAAACATTGATCATAAAGTTTAAAATTACAGTCTTCTACACAAAATCTTTTACCAAATGATTCTTGATGATATAATGTAGGTGGACATTTAGTTACACATTAACTAGAAATAGGATCCATGAAGAGATATTAATTTACACAAAAATTAACACAAGATTAAACTTCAAGATAAAAATTTTAAACACAAGCTTAACATACTGTTGCTGAAGTGCATTTTGTACATTTAGGATCACATTTTTAACATTCATCATCTTCTAAATAATATCCGTCTTCTAAGCCTAAAACACATTTAGATTCACAAATAATATAATTTAATGGACATGATGATACACATTCTTTTTTTTCTGTTATTTCATATAGATCATCAGTACATTCTGACATACATTCATTTATTTCTCTATTATAAAATAAAGGACATTCTGATTTACAACTTTATCCATCTAAAAAATAATTATTGATACAAGAATAGCATTGATGAGCTGTAGATCCAAAACAAGTACTACAAAATAGATTACAATCATAACAGTAATTATCTATTTAAAATGTAAATGTTGGACATAATTAGATACAAATTTAATTATAGATTAAATATCCAGAATCACATTCATTTTAGCAATTAACATCTTAAATAACTAAATGAACAGGACATGCATCTTTACATATATGATCAGTTAAATCATAAAATTATGGACAAGTATTTCCACATGTCTATTCATTTAAAAAGTAAGGTAGTTCACATTCTAGACAATTACCATTATTAGGACCATAACATTCTTTGCATATTGAATCACATTCATAACATTTACCAAGCCATAAATATGATTTTGAATAACATTAATCAACACATTCTTTTTTATCATGTAATTCATAATAGTATAAGAAAGTAGGACAAGGAGAAAAGCAGAAATTTTTTTTTAAGTATAAATATTCAGGACATTAGACAACACATCTTTAATCAGCTAAATTTGCATAAGGTTTATAATCAGGACAAATAGCATAACATGTAGTTTGTTCGATATAATATCCAAAATCACATTTAGTACATTAATTTATTTTTGAACCAAAACATTCTGAACAAGGACTAGCGCAACTTTTGCAAATTTATTAATCTAAATAAGTTTATTCAGGACATGATGAAACACATAAATTAGAATAATAGTAAATAGGACAATCTTTTTTACAAGCAAGTGCTCCTCCAGGCAATGTTTATAAATATGTCCCTAAAGGACAATTTTAGACACATGCCTCATTTACCCAATCTTAAATTAATTTAGGTTTTATTGTACAACCTTAAAGACATAATGTTCCTCCATTTAAAAAATAACCAGGTAAACATGATAAACAATTATTATAATCTCCTCCAGTACATGTTGCACAACCACTATAACAATTATAACAATATTTTGTATAAAGTTAATTATATGTACCTATTGGACATCCCATTTAATAGCAAAGTTTTTTTTCAAAGTATTAGTAGTATGAAGGAGAACATGAATAAACACAACGACCATTTTCTGCATAATAAGGGCAACTTGCAACACATTTTTAAATACTATCATCTTTATAAGGTGTAGCATTGGGGCAATCAGTATAACATGTAGTTCCTTATAAATATGCTCCTTAAGAACATACTGTACATGATGTAGAATAAGCAGTTTCACACACTTTACAAACAGATGCGCAATTATCACAATAATAATAATTATCTCTTTTTAAACAATAAGTCTCGTTTTGTTAAGAGTTATAACAGTTTTCTTTAAATTAATATTAATCAAATAAGCAAGTAATAGCACATGATGTTACATATATACTACTACCATTAATTGATATATATCCTGATGTCTTAAAACTATCTTTTGGACATTCATCAACACATAACCAATGAATATCATCTTATAATTATTAAATGCAATATTTAACACATTCATTATTTTATAAATACGATTTTGGTTTACAAGTTAAACATTAATTAGAATTAGGACCTGAACATGTTTTGCACTTGAAATTACAATTAAAACATTCATATCCTTCACAATAAGCACCTATTTCTGGTTTTATTTCATAACAACCATTGTTCCAAGAATATAAATAAGTTGCAAAGATTTCTCCACATTTTTCAACACAAGCATTTATATTCAAAGCTTTATCTATAACTTTAAATCCTGATGAACAAGATCCTTCGCATTTCCAATTCATATAATTTTAAAATTTACCTTTACATGAATCAAAACAATCACTATCTTATAAAAATGTCATAGGGAAACAAGATGTACAAAATATCGGATATTAATCGCATGTTTTACACTTAAAATGACATGGTTAACATTAAAGAAGAATAGGATGACCATAATATCCTCCTTCACAAGGAAAAACACACAAATGTAAATCAGTTTAATGTAAAAAAGTTTAATATTCTTTATTAACTTTAATTATTCCACATTTTTATTTAAAACATTAATTTAAAGAATATCCATTAATATTTTCATTACTATAAATTAAATCTCCCGCTCCACAATTCTCTTTACATGAATATGACTCAAGTAATATATCTAAATATTTTGGATAACATGATTCAACACACATACCTTAATCCATTGGATAGACATTTAGACATTTTGTACAAATTTTATCATTTGTACATGACTCACAAAACTCTGGGCAATCAATGAGTATATCAATTATTTTTGTTATTTCATTATTTTAAATCTCTAATGTTGTTTAATAAGTTTCAATTAAATTAGTTGTAAAGCATTAATTTTTATATAATTTATATCCTTAACTACATTCTTTTACACATTCACTCCCTTGAGTATATAACCAAGAAGGACATTCTAATTCACACACCCAAGAATATTTATTATTTAACTTAAATCTAGCTTTAGCACTTGTACTCCTACAATCTGCTTAACAAGATGTCGTATGTGGATTGTAATACATATTGTCATAGCATCCCAAACAATTAGTTTCTGAAGTCCCATAACAATATTTACAATTTTTGTTGCAAGTTATAGGGACATTTTCAATCACTCTTTTCTTCACTATTTAACAAATCTTACTTTTTCCAATTTCACTTTATTCACTTTTTAAACAATAATAACCAATATCTTTTTCAGAACCTGAACAAATATTTGATGGATTACATGAATATAGTCCTTGACTTCTTAAATTAACACAAATTATACTGAATAAATATTTTTCACATTTATTTACACAATAACCATCTGCTTTTTAAAATCTAAAATCAATTGAGCAATCTTTTGCACATATTTTATTTTAAGGTAAAGCAAAACCAGGTTAACATAAGGCACAAGAAGACTGAAATTAAGATATCTAACAATTTGCTACTTGATTTCCAGAACAAGTATTCATACTATTTGAATAGAGATTATTTAAGCATAATTTACTTATATCATTTCTATTTTAAACAGGCTTGCTTATTTAATTTACAACTTAACAATATTAAGCATTAGAATCTTTACAATAATATGGAGAAGAAACATTTACTGTTGATTAGCATAAACCATTTGTTAATTAATATCCTTCTGCACATACTTCACATGTAGATGATGAAACTCTTAGACAATTTTAAATTATGATTTTTATACATTCATTATTTGATTCTTTATATCCAGCTGGACAATTATAAACTTTACTATCATCATTAGGATCTTATTCTTTACAATAATGAGTTCCTTATTTGCAAAATGCACAATACTATCCAACAAATAATTAACAATCTTAATTAAAGACTTACTTAATTCCATTTCCTTTAAAAATTTTTATATCTTATATCTCTATAATTTCTAATCCGTAATCATCCATAAAGACAGGTCCAATAATTAATCTTTTGTATGGTTTAATATTTGTAACTATATCTAATTTCGTTTAGACATTATCAATAAGTATTCTCATTGCTTTTTTTTAATTTAAAGGTTCAAAGTTTGCGTTATAACCAATATCTAAAAAACCAGCTGTTACCTATTTCCAAGTGTTGGCACTTAATGCACCTGCTGGTATCTTAGAATAAATTTAATAAAACAAAAGATCATAATTTTTACCAACTCCAAATCCTATACTTGTTTCTTATAAAATATCATCTGTTAAAGATAAAAATTAAAATGAAGATTTTATATTTTAAGGTTTAATCCAAAACATAAAAGTTAATGAAGTAAATTGTTCTAAAAAATTATAAACTATCTATGAACTTTTATACAAATTTATCCCAATATTTCCAGTATAATCAAGAGGTAGTGTAAATTATCTCAAATTAATTTAATCAAAAACTTAATCTACTACAATACCATTTGATGCATAAGGTTTTAATGCGAATTTAAGAATTGGATCATAATCAACATACATTTCTTAATCCATAGACGTCCATCCATTAAAATAGTCAAAATTTGCTACATTAATACAAGCCTTGTAATCCAGTGCATCATTAAATTTAAGTCTTTCATTTGTTATTCTTGTATGCTAACCAAGTTTAAAAACTAATCTAAAATTAGGTTGAATAACTACTTTTGATAAACAAGTGTATCAGTTATTTGAAAAAGTTAATAGTAATGAGTTGAAAAAAATTTTAGATTGATAAAAGTATTATTAGTAGAATTTTAATCAATGGAAAGAAATATATGATTCCAAGTATCTTTGAATAGATCATTTTCCCTAAAATTTATAAGTAAAAAATATACTAAATAATTTTCAGTCTCAAAATTTCAGGAGTGACTTTATTATTTACTAAATACAAATAATAATCACTCAATTCTTTTTTATAATAAAGCATCAGATTTAAGTACTAGATAAATTAACTTAAATACAGCATTTTCTGTAAACCCATCGACAAAACTAAATATAATTTATCTTCCTGTCATTTTCATCTTAGAATGCACCATCATCCATAAACTAAAGGAAATTTTATCCAGAGATTATAGACTTCCTTCTTAAGTTAGATACTTATAAAAGTATTGATTTCCTACAAAACCATTGTCATCTTTAAAAGATATTTATTTTTTTACATTTTAAGTCATTTTTACATTCCATATAAAGAGGCTGTGGCCCTTGCAATTGAAGTTTTGTTTAAGATTAAACTTAATAATAAACCATAAGGATCAATAGAAATTAAAGCATTTTATAATGAATAAAATATTAACTTAGGATTAAAGACATCAATTGAATTTATACTATAAAATATGTGAATTATAAGATTTATCAAATTTAGCATTTAAATATGTAGAAATAACAAACAACATAATGTTCATATCGTTCAAATTCTTTCTAAAAAAAAGTAGTTTGGTTCTCAAATTAAAAAATTAAAAATCATAAAATAATATTTATATGTAATTAAATTTACATAATAATAATTATTTAAAAATCAGGAATAATAAGTTTTGAAGATTAGAGTCTAATTGATATTAAATTATGAAAAAAAAGAGTTTAATTTAATCCTCTAAATAAATATTTAGTTGACCGAGGATTTGAAATTATATATATTTATTGTTATTGCTCTTTGTTTAAAAATTTACAAAAAACTAAAGTTAATATAATATTGATTAATTTTCATTTATGTTTATTTGGCTTCTTCATATTTTCTATCAAAAAATTCTTATCGTTATTATGTGCTGGAATTTTGATAATCTCATTATTTATTCCATGACTTTTGACATTAGTTGGAGGAATATATTTTGGTAAATGACCTTTAAGAATATAAGACCTTAAGTTTATATATAAATTTTACCAATACATAGAGTCAGTTTCGATAATTAATTTAGCTTCTTTTCGAATTCCATATTCTTTAGGTTTAAAGCCCAATTTAAATTCTGTTCCTTTTTTACCATGAGGTTCTAATAGACCTGTTAATGGTTCAACTGAAAATTCTGGATTAGAATCTGGTGTAAAGTAAGCTTTAAAATTAGCAATTTCTTCAATTCTGTTTGTCAATCTAAAACTAACCTTCGTTAATAGATTGATTTCAGAAGTTATGACAATGATATCATCAATTTATGGCTCTAATGCATTTACTTATAATTTAAACCTATTAATTAAATAGTTTGAAATACCTCCACAAGCCTCCAGATTCAACTTTAACTTGTAATTCTGTTGACAATTTAAAAGGTTTATATGGAAGAAATCTAATATCAAAACTTAGAGGTTGAGTAACATCTTTAATTTGATGATCATGTAAATTAATTTTTAAGTGTTTCTTTAAATTTTCCATATCTGTTATTTTATACATAACTTTCTCATTACTTTTTAATCCATCTAAAACAACATTTAATTTAGTAACTAAAGGTATTCTACATTTTGTTTATATAAGATGAACATTATTCATTTCTTCATTCTCTATTAATCCTAAAAGAGGATAAGTCCATTTAACTTAAGCATTCATAGTGAGTACAAGATTACATTTATAAGATTTAATATCAACAGCACTAAATTAATAGGGTATAAGTAAACTCGATTAAGGAGCAATGGTAATTCTTTATCTTTTCATCATTAAAGTAAAGATTCCTTCTTATTATTATTACATTTCTAATTAAACAGTTAAAGAATCTTTTAAAGGATTTTTAAATTCAATCTATTATGTAACAGATTATCCAGCTTTACATATGACAGTAGTTTCTTAAAAAGGAGTAGGGGATTCACCTGTTCCAAAACATAAAAAGATCCATTTACCTATTTCTTTTGTTTTAATTTAAATTTCTCCAGAATGAGCAGTAAGAGCTGAAGGTACGAATACAACATAAACAGGTTTTAAAGTATAAGGTTCTAAAATTAATTATTAACCTCCTTCAAATTCTAGAGAGAAATTAGTAGAATTACTATTTTCAATTTCTGCAATAATAGAATTGCAAGTTGGATTTTCAAGTAACATTTCACATTTATCTAATTTTCCTAATTCAGTTTTAAATTATGGCACTTTAATACCTCCTCTATCTTCACCAATAAGATTTAATGTGTACCATATTTCACCCATTTTAGGATGACAAAATGAAATACTCCCTTTCCATCTTCCTTCTTAAAGTGGTTAAAATACTAATTAATATGTTGAAGTTCCTCCTGGCAAAACTGAAAACCAAGAATCACCTGATAAAGCTTCACCTATAATTTAAACTTCATATGTCACATTCTCAGGCAAAGGATTAGCAATTTCTATATCAAATGCAATTGCTTTTCTTATTGGAGAAACTAAATCTACTGTACCTAATGGTTTAGGATTAGCAGTATCTAACATTATTGTCCACCATCTATAATGTCCATTTCCTGTAAAAGTTATAGATCCTGTAAATTAACCACTTATTACTGGATTAATATTTAATTTATATTCATATGTTGTTTATGGTTAAATTGTTATCTCTTATTCACCAGCAGCATTCAAAACATCAGTTTCAACTGAATATCTCAATTCATCGTTTGTATTGTTACTCACTGGAATTATCTATGTGATTGGTTATCTTGCAACTGCTTTTATTGTATAATGTCCTTCTGATAATGGTTCTTCACCTTTTCCTATTAATAAATATTCATAAAAATCATTTGTTAGAGGATTTATTATAGATAATTTTGCTTTAACATCACAAATCCAATCTGGTGCAAATTAAACTACCACTGCACCATTTGTTGGTTAATTATTTAATTTCTTTTTTATTAATTATTCTCTTTATATATTTTATTAATGAAAATCTTAATCTTTATTGTTTTTTTGACTATTTTCTTTTATATCTTTTTGATCTGCTACTTTTTCTTATTTTTTTCTTTTACTTTAACCATCACCTAATATTGAAAATCGATCATCTCCAACTAAATTAATTTTTAGATTAAAATCACGATCAGTATTATTTACTATTGGTATTTCTTAAGTTACTATTTCTCTAGCAGGAATGGTCATTTCAAGTGTAACCATAATTGGTTTTGGAAGTGAAGTTATTTGTATTCTAAATCTTCTAACATCAGTTTTAGTTTCATTTACTAACATAAAGTGACTAAGATAATCTTTAACAGCAGTTTTAAAATTCATTGAAAATTAAATTAAATTTTATTTTTCATCAGATTTCTAAAGTTATTATTAAGGATCATCATCATCCTCAGAATTTTTAGTTTAATTAAGCAATAATTGTTAATAGTTGACTAATTAGAATGCTTTATCACAACTTATGTAAGATTAAGGTTCTTCCAATTAGACTGAAAACATGATATCATCAATAGGAATATTTGGTTTATTTTATAAAGTGACTGAATTCGAATTTTAACGATTTATTATTTTTTTTTTATCAATAGTGAGTTAATCAACCTACTTTAATGCTGCCTTTAATTAAGGATTAAAAAATGGAACATGATGATAGAAAGATGCAACTTGATCAATAAAAACTTATAGATCAGGTTTAAGATCATATAAAACTTCTGGAGGTTCCACATTACCATGAATTTCATATTAAAATTCACCAACTGAATTATCTTAAAATACTACCATACACTTTTATTAATGCAATTAAGTAGGTAAATATTACATTGGTAAATTATATTAAGCTCCTCTTTTTAATCTAATACTCTCTTATTTACAGAAAAAAGCTGGAGGAAATTCAATTGATGTTAATTTCTCTAATCTTTGTTTTTCTTTTAATTCATTATCTGCATCTTTCTTCTTTTCTGCCATTGACATAGCTTTCTTTTTTTTTTTTGGTGTTTCTATAACTAATGGAACTTTAATTGGAACTATTGAAATAGTAAAATGACCAAATTCAGAATTTGTAAATGTATTTTAAACTGTTATACTAAATTCTTTCATTTCATACATAACTGAACTGACAGTCCATATTTTTTAACTCACTCTTTCTGATATAACTCCTTTTAATTCATAAACTATTGCAGCAGCAATATTTTTATTTCCTTTCTTGTTACAAAAAGTAATTAAAGCTGTTTATTCATCACTAATTCTTGAAGTGAATTTAATATTATAATTATATTTCCCTCCTGGTTCAATTTTAATTTAATCTTCCTCAATAGAAAAATCTGAAGAGCCTTCTAATTTAACAAAATAAACAATAGGTTCTTTTGTCGTATTTGTTAAAGTAATTGTTTTCATTATAATTGATCCTAAAACACATTTAAACATCAAAGGTTCTCTTTTTGGCATAAAATTAGGGACTTATGTATATAAAAGCATAAGCATCAATAAACTTTCAGGATTACTCATATTAACACAATCATTAAGTACTAAATGAGATTCAATACCTATATCTTGTAAACCTTTTAAGAAAATAGACATGTTTCGACTACAGTCCTATTCCTATTTAGTTATTTAACCTAATGGTTAAAAATATTTTAATCCTCCTGGGCCTAAGTAACTCAAAAGCATAGCTGTTAAAATATGAGCATCTTTTAACATTCCAAAATTGATTATTCTAATACTTTTAGATTCCTTCCAATATTATGTAGCCTACAATTCTATCCATCTTAAAATTAACATTTCTTAAGATGAATAAACATTTGATTAAGGATATTCATTGATACTTCCATTAATTTATCTCATAGCTTTCAATGTGACTCTTGGTAAATAATATATTCGTAAGATTTGAGTAAAAAGTATTAAATATGAAGTTTTGGAGACTAAGTCAAATTACTATTAAGAATATTTTTGGAAATCTGGATGTGTAAATTTCATATCAACTGTTTTTAGATAAAACTAATAATCTTCATAACTGAGTAAATAACATGGACGAATCTAATTTAATAAAGCTCCATCTACTTTTAATTGAAGCAACAATTCTTTGTATTATTGATGCAATAATTATGATATCTAAGATTTCTACTTGATATTTTATAATTAAGCTCTAAAAGGAAACTAAGTTCTTCCGGTTAAAAATTAAATTAGTTCAAATATATGATGACCTTACATTAAAATAATAGATGTAGGAAATATATCTAATTATCCAACAAATTGATTGTACCATCTTTATAAATGTTCACATTTACTTTCAATAACCTTTTCTGAAATTTATTGAGTTGATGTTAATTTTTTATGAATAGAATCTTTACTATCTTCTGATTCATCAGTTTAATTTATCTCTGTTAAATGAGGCACTCCTTTAACAAGTGCAATTTCTGCTTGATTATCATACATCCATGTAGTAAATGAACAATTATCGCTAGTTGCTGAGACACTTATGCTATAACTATGTTAAGTTTCATCAATAATTTCTAAAGTTTAAGATATTGAAATAGGATTCTAAGCAGTATACTTGATAATCATATCTAAATATTATTTTGTAATTCCAACTGTTTGGCCATCTAAGAATTCTACAGTAAACCCTTCTAATTGTTTAACTGATAATTTTTAAGTCTCAAATCCATCATTAAAAATCTTAAACTATAATCTAGATTCTATCCCTAAAGGAACTGGACAAAGTATTAATTCTCTTCTATCAAATTAAACACTAGGTTTAGCAGCTATTCCATGAAGTTAAACAATCAAATATGGTTATCCTGGTTTACTATCTTCAAGATATATTTATGCTTGTTTAGAATAAGTTCCTTCATATCTTGGATTAAACATAACTTTAACTCTTAAAGTCTAACCAGCATCTACTCTACCTGCAAGAGGTATTACTTGAAAAACTGATGGAATATTACCAGTATCAGCATCTATCTAAATTTTAAATTGCATTCCTTTATATTCTGGATTTGACAATAAAATTTCTTATATATTTGGTTTGTTCTTTTCAGGTGGTGACAATATTATTTTTCTTGGAAATTCTACTGTTTTAGGTTCAACTATAAATTTTGGTGAACATCCCTATACTTAAACCATTCTTTTTATTGTATCTATTATACCAAATTTATAGATTTCTATTGGCAATTAAAATTAGTATCGTTTTAATTCTTTTGGATAAAAATGTAATTGAAATTAGGCAGTTTATTAAGCTGATAAAATTAAGATGAATTTTTTATTTTAGCATATCATTTTCTTTTTTTATCTTGCTGAAGAAAGAAGATCATCATCTGATTCTTCTTATTATTCTTCTTCAGCATAATTCTTGAATAATTCTGATTATTATTTTAGTATTAAGCATCCTACTCCTTCATTGGCATCTGGATTTATATCTTCATTTCTTAAATCTAAAATTAACTTTACTTCAACATTGCTTTTATTTACTATCGTTAATGGTAATGCAGTTTAATTTCCTAAAGTAGTAACATCTCCAAAATCAAATAACTATTAAGTGATTATGACATTTGGAACTATGCATTATGCAGTTAAAGGTATTCTAAGTACCCTTCCTGATCTTAGCATTAATAATATTGAAGTATTTATATTAATTGGTTTATCACAATTTAATTTAACTGTAAATTCTTTATTTTCTTCTGGTAATATTTTACCAGATGCTGGAATAACATTGCATCCTATTGGTAAATATTCAGTTAAAATCTTAAATATTGCATTGTTTCTACTTGTATTTTTTACTTAAAATGGCAAAGACTTTTCTTAAGCAACACATATTTCTTGGAATTCAACAGTATTTTTGCAAACACATTTGACATCACTTACTAATCCAATACATTTTAATTAAATTTCAGAACCATCTTTAACTTTTAAAACGATTTTCTCTTCATCTTGGCGAGTGGGATTTTAATTTTTAAATACTACATCACTTTCAGGATCTTAAGGATCCTTCATAATTTTACTAGGTGTATAAGTAATTTAAATAATTTATTGTGATTAACCTTAGATTATTCCATTTAAACAATCAAGAGTAAATTTAGAATTTTCAGGTTAAATAAAATTAAATTGTGCTGGTCCAACACCATTATTACTTAATTTAATAGAATCACTCACAGTCATTCCTCCATCTTCATTAAATTACATTTTGATAGTAGTTTTAGAAATTTCTAATTTAACAGTTTCTACATTAGCAACAACCATAATTTCAAATGAGTGTTTCTCATTTAATATATATCTTAATGTTTATTTTAATTATCCTAAAGATTAAGCTTAAACAATTATTTCAAATTGACCTTCTTCTCCACTATCAATTACTTAAGGATCTTAGAATGTTTTTCTAAGTTCTTCCTTTTTATCTATACAAAGTCTGGCTATTATAGCATATCTCAAATTATTATGAATAAAGAATGTTCTTGACATTGGAGTATTTATATAAATAGTACCATAATCAATTTTAATTGGACCTGCTTAAATTCTTTTCAAATCATCTGCTGTTAATTCTCTATTTACATCTCTTACTTATTTATGTGATTAAGGTCTTCCTGATAAAATTCTCTTAACTGGTTATTTTGGATCAGGTTTAAAATCTACTAATTCATCATCTTATCTTTTCAAAGGTTCATATTATTAAAATGGTTTTACTACATATAAACCTTCCTTACGATATGGAATTTCAATATCATTATCCATATTATCTACTTATAATCCTAATTCAAATTCATAATCTTTAGGAGGTTTAGATCCCTCATCTCTCTACTTTTCTTATGCTTTTGTTATTGTTTCTACTCTTTATTAAATTATTTATTATCTCTATTTTTCTAATCGATTATTTCTTGAATCCTATAAAAAATTATTTGTCTATGTTGTATTTTTTGGCTTTTTTTAAGTATCTTCAAAATAGCCATCAACAATATTTCCAGGCTGATGATTCTATTCAATAAGTTCATTATTTCTCTTTTTTACATATTCAATTTCTTTAGTATCAATAAATTTTGGATCAATTTAAAAATCCTCTGCTCTGGCTTCTGGACCTCTAGTTTAAGGTCTTTTTTTGGTAATTTTTAAAGCTTCTCCATTTACCTTAACTGGGATAGTTAGATAATCATTTAGTATCATATCTATATTTTAACTATATTTTCCTACATTTTTTGGAGTGAATTTAACTTACACAGTAGTTTAAGATAACCCATTTATTGTCACACCCTCAGGCTTAAAAAAGAAACAAGAAACCTTTTAAAATGAGATTTCAACAGGTTAATTTTATAAATTAGAAATAGTGAACAGAATATCCTTATTATCATTAACATCGCAATCTCCAAATTACAATGATTATTTTGATATTTTTACTAATGGAAGTAGTGCTTTCACATTTGTATAAGCAATCAGATCTTCATCAGGTTATTAAACAATAATTGAATATTTTATTTCTCTACTCATTTACTCTTTCTCAACATCAACTCCAAAACAAATTTTTTTAGCTAATTAGTGTTCTTTAGGAGTTATTTAGATCATACAAATTAATGATAATTCAATGCTAGAATATGCCTAAATATATCCATTCGATGGTTAGACAACCAATAATTTTTCACTCTGCTCTATACCTAACTCATTGGGAGTTTATAGATTTACAATATCATCATTAGGGTTTATTATACCTCTTCTAGTGAGAATTTTAAATTAATGCCCTTTTGGAGCATTATTAACATATTTAAGTTTAATAATTTTAGTTTTACCCATATAAAGTTCTCCAAAATCTAAGGATGTAACTTATGATCCTTTAGAATCCATTAAAAATCTAGTATAATCAACAGAACATGCTGCAATATCCAATTTTTATGATAAATTTTCACTTACAATATCCATAGTCTATCTAAAATTGCCCATCTCATTAGCCTTATATACTATGTTAATGGATTGATATTCTCCTGGAGCAATCGTAATTAAATTTGGTACAGCTCTTAGATTTAACAAATCACTCTTTATTTAAACTTTGGCATCTGCAAAACCAACATTTTATATAATTAATTATTTTGTGTTTTCAGTTCCTTATTGAACAAATCCAAAATCAATGAATTCATTAAATTTTAATTTAGGACATGCTCTATACGCAGCTAGATGTACTTCAACTTTAAATTCATCGGATTCTATAATGATAACATCTTTATAAAAAGGAGGTGGCTTTTAATGCTAATTTAATGCTGCAATATCTCTTTCCGATTCCTTAAATAAAACTAAGACCTTTAGACCTAATCCAGCTGCTATACCTTACTACATATCATAGTCAGCTCGAAATTTAGAAGCTTCCTTAAATACGAATTATTACTTTTAGGTTGTTACACTCTAATTCTGACAGGATATTTAGCTAAATTCTACACATTCAATATTTGTTCATAAAGTATTCCAGTCTTGATGTCTTCAAATATAATTTCTTTAGGTTCGATATGAAACAATTCTTTAACAATACTTCTTGTTGATTTTGCTGCACTTTATATTCTTGTACCACCAACTCTAGTTTAACCACTTTGAATTCTTGTATAACCACTTTAAATCCGTTGACTATTATTAGTTGGTTAGGCAAAGCTTCCTATCCCAGAAGGGACTCTTTGACCAGATGGAATAACTGGGCTTCTCTGCATTGCTGATTATATTGTTCTTTGATTTTATAATGTCATTAATGAAGGTTTTGCAGATTGACTTCTTTAATTTGATAAAATTGGTTAAAGTGAACCTCCTGTAGTTGTTGGGACAGGTTGTTACATTATTTTTTAAATTATATATTTAAATACAAATTTACGAATAAGATCAATTGTTAATTTACATTATATATCTTACTATATTAGACATCTCTATCAAACCTCTTATTCTTTTATTTTTTTTAGCTTTATATATTATTATTTCTTAATTAAAATATTTGCAAAATTTTTAAGTGATAAATGAACAAATAATAGAAGAAAATCTAAAAGTAAAATGATAAGCTCAAGATTGAAAAGCAAGATAATGATAGTCCCTAGAATATTGAAGATCTAATACATGATAAAAATGATTTCATTTGTCCTATTTGTTTAAATTACATAGTGGCAGCTGTTTCTTTAAAATGCGGACACACCTTTTGTGAAATATGTTTACATGAATATTTGCTTTATTTCAAGGGCTGTCATATTTGCAATGATAACATGAGAAAATCTAAATTTGCATATTGCTATTTATTAGACTAGATGATTCATGAATTTATTAAGTCTCATCATCCAGAAGAATTAAAAACTTATGAGATGGCAAAAATTAATAATAAAGAATGGAGAAAAAAGAAACAGTATATCATTTAATTATTTTTAAGAGTTTCATCTATAGATGTTGGATAACAGATTGATGTTAGAGATCCAAATTTTGTTTGGAATGTTGGAACTATCAAAAGATTAAAGATATCCTAGGAAGCTAGTAAAATTAAATACCTTGTTATTCATTATGAGGGTAAATCGGATAAACATGATGAAGAGATAGCAGAAAATTCTCCAAGATTTGCTGCTTTAGGTTTTTATACAAGTCGAAATGATATTCCAAAATATTACAAATAGACAAAAAACCCATTTTTAAAAAACTTATTGTGTATAGAATGTATGGATCCAAATGACAATTAATTCAATTAATAGTTTTTTATTGAAGATAATTCTAGTGAGAGTGAATGACAATATATTTTAAATTTTATCAACTTAAATTCTAAAGATACATGGTTGAATTATTAACTTCAATAGACACTCTCATTTTTTTATCATGTTATTGAAATAAAAATAATCATGATAAAAGTTTGGATTTTTTCATAACGTTGATTAATTTTATTTGTAAATTTTAACAGACTGGTAATGTAGCAATTGTCATTAAATAATAGCAAGGAGAATTAAAATAGAGATTTTAGCAAGGTGGAATAGAGAATTTCACTTTTAATAGAGGAGAATTAAAGATTAAATTAGTCACTCAAAAATAAGATGGAAGAAAATTAATAATTAAAAAATGAAAACAATTCTTTATTAATGGAATTAAATAAATTTAGAGGTTTAGATTGTGAATAAAAAATTTTAACAGAAATCATCCTTGAAAAAACTGGTGATTGTGATAAACATAAAAGAAAATTATTAAAAGCTGAAAAAACAATAGTTGATTTAGAATAAGAAATTAGTAAATTAAAGTTTGAAAAAGATTAATAAACTAAATCAATACTTGAAGCCTAAACTTAAAATATTTAATTAGACTAAGAAAGATTAAAATAGATAGATGAACTCAAAAGCAAAGTTAGAAAATTTAATTAAGGGTCCAACGAATAGGTTGATTAATTGAAATTTGAAATTAGTAAATCTCAATTAGAAAATGACTCTTTAAAAGTCTAATTAAAGTAATTATAAGATGAAAATGTATAATCTTAATTAATATTAGGCCTCTATTAAAAGACATTTAGGTTGCTTAAGTGGTTATATATTAGAAAATGAATAATTAAGAAAAGAGAATGAAATATTGAATTAAAATTATTAAGCTTTATTAACAAAGTAATGAAACCTTTGATGATGGTAAACTTTTATTATATATTTATTAAATTTTTATATTATTAATAAAATAAATATATCATATTTTTAAATAGTTTATACAATAATAGTTTAATAATAATTATGATTTTTATAAAAAATTTAGTTATTCATTGATATCTAGGGTTTCATTTTATGTTAGATATTTTATTTTAAATATCTATATAAATATATATGAATTAAAGAAAAAAATCAATAAACATAGACAAAGCCATTTTCACATCCAACTAAAATCCATCCTTCTTCAACTATCATTTCATATATTCCTGATTTAGCTTAAAGAATTCTGTAATTGTGCATTTATCTTACATCAAATGTTACTATCTTTCCATCTAAACTGGAGATATGGAATTATTAGTTATAAAATAAGATTTTAGTAATTGCATTCTAATATAGATTTATATAAATACTTTGCATAAGCATAATTTTTCAATTAATTTCATTGAATTCCAATTATAAATATAAATAGAACCTGATATATCTCCAGCAACAATGATAGGTTAATTAGTACCTATAAAACATAATTCAACAATACTGTCTCCTAAAGGTTCAGTTTTACCAATAACCTAATTATTAAATAAAAATACTTTTCCATCTTCAAAATTGATAAATGCAATAGTTGAATCACTACTACCAGTGGAAATGATAGGTTATTTATGATGTTATACAAAGCATACAACATCATCTTTATGATAATTGTGTTTATGTGCAACTGAACTAATTTTAACAATTTATTCAGAAGTATTTGGTTTCCAAATTCTAAAAGATTGATCAGCAGAACCACTTAAAACTAATTTTCCATCAAGAGTAAAACCACCACAAGTAATTTCTGCTTCATGACCAGCAAATACACTCATTACTTCACCATTAACTCCATTCCACATCCATAAAGTTGAATCTTAAAATCCTGCTAATAAAACATTTCCTTTTGGATGCCATTTCAATACACTTGGTTCAGTCTGACTACCATCAAGCACTTTTTCACTCATATCATTTAATAAATAAATATAAATCTTTCCTGTTAATATACCAGCAGCAACGTATTTACCATCATAACTAAAATCAACTAAACCAACTGTTTCATCATATTTTTTTTCAAATATGATTTTTTAAGTACTAAGTTTAATAATTTTAAATTAATCATCTTCAGAACCACTTGCAATCATATCTTTTGCTATAGGATTCTATGCAAAAGTACAAATAACTTTATTATGTATTTTTAATTAAGCTTTTGATTCATCTATTTTCCAAGTAGGATCGATATGATTGTCTTCAATTTATTCTACTAATTCAGGTTATTATTTAATAATTTATTCTTCTTCTTCAATAATTTTTTCCTCTTATTAATCAACTTCTTTTTCAAGGGCTTCTAATTCTTGATTATCAACTTCAACTACTTCTCCTAAATCATCTTCCCAAGCATCACTCTTTTAACTAGCTGTATCATCAAATTTCATAATCAAATAACCTTTAACTTATTCCTCTGTGATGGTATTAATATTCTAAATTTATAATTAGAAGATAATTACAATTTTCTCGAATTCTTCTGAAACATCAATTACATTAAATTCTTTGTATTCTTCAATGATATTAGGATTTTATATTAAATTCATAGCATATTTCATAGGAAATGCAAATTGTAATGTCTTATCTTGATTTTTTAATCTAAAATCAATGATTTCATTTACTTTATAGTTTATTCAATCAATTAAATATGTCTTTCTAACATCATTAATTCTTTGGCTAATGTAATTTCTTATTCTGCTGAATGACCTTCATCATTACTCAATTCCCAGAATTATTTCTCAGTTATTGTTAACTTTTATTTAAGAAGATGTAATAACTATGCTAAAGGATCGTGCTCCATAAATTAAAATAATTAAAAATACTTAACGATTATAAACATGACCTCTATTTTACAATTAGACTAAGAATATAAGATGTTATTTGAATAAATTATGGGAATGCTTGATTAGTTATCATCCATAAGTTTGGAATTTGTAAGCTCCAAATTAACTTTTCTAGAAAAATATTCATAAACTTTAAAAAATTCATAAATAGATGCTAGACAACATCGCAATAATTAAATTAAAAATTTGATTGAATATGTCAAAATGCATCGTAAATCAAAAGTTCGTTCAGCGATACATTCCCCATCAAATAGAACATTTCATCATCATCATCATAATTCTTTAGATATGTAAGATGTTCAATTAAAAGATAATACATCTCTAATGCCAAATTCTTTTGCTCCATAAAAAAGTCTAAGTGACACTAAACTTGTACATACTAAAACTATTAAAAACCTGCTGTAAAAAATGATTACTAAAAAAAATGATTCCCCTTAAAAAAATTCTACAGATCCTTTATTAAAAATACTTGAAAATGCAATGTCTTTATTGGAGACTCATCAATAATTCTATTAAGAAGATTATAATTAATTAAAAAAAGAATATGACGAAATTTTATAAAATAATCCATAATTTCTAGCTAAATTAAGTTTACAGAATAAATCAAGTAAAATTAAGGAAAACTTGAACTCTCTAATTGAAACTTAAAAATCATTTAAATCTTATTTGAATTCTATAATGTGAATGTTCAAAAATTATATATATATATATATATATATCTCTAATTGAAAAGATTATTGTATTACATTGGATAATTAAATTATAGCATAGCATATAACATAATATAAAATAAAAGCAAAATATAATAATTTTTAATGTAATCAATCATAGTATGATAATATTAATAAAAATTAAGGTTATTTGTATATAAATAATGCTTAAAAATTATATAACATCAGTATTAATTATTTAAATATATATTATAATGATTTTCAATTCTGAGTTATCAGGTTAATAATAACATACAACTTCCCCAGTAGTGACTGGAGGTAGTGTAATAGCATTAGTTTACAAGGGTGGAGTAGTAATTGGAACTGATACTCTATGTAGTTATGGAAGTATGGCAGCATTTAAGTAAAAATTGAGAAAATTGATTTAGAAATGTAGAGAAGATTGCTCAAGTGTCTAAAAATACTTTATATGTTTCAAGTGGAGAATTTTCTGATTTCTAATAAGTGGTGAAAGAATTAGCAAAAATAGATAGATCAGCTTTATAATATGATGATGGAGTTCATCCATCTCCAAGAGATTATGGTAATTTCTTAGCTAGATTATCATATAAAAAGAGATGCAAAATAAATCCATTATACTTACAGAATGTGATTGCTGTATAGATTTTTAAGTATTTAGGGATTTCATAATGGTGAGAGATATCTAGCATTAGTAGATATTTATGGTACATACTTGGAATCAAATTTTGTGACAACTGGTTTTGCAAGTTATTTCTGTAAAGCAATAATTAGTAATTATTGGAATGAAAATTGCACTCTTGATTAAGCTAAATAAGTAATAAGAGAATGTTTTAAAGTAAATGAAAGATTAATGATAGGTATTATTTTGCAGAGATTGTAGAGCACATGATATGATTTAATTAGGTTATGTAGATGAATAAGGTGTACATATTGAATAAGCAGAGAGAGTTGAAACAAAGTGGGATTTCAATGGGTTTAAAACTAGAGCAAATGAGAAATTACACACATAATGAACATAATAATTTTTATTTATTTATTTATTTATATATTTCTCAAGGATCTGCTACTTACGGTCTAGTCTTAATAAAGCTTTCTCTACCAGTTGGTTACCATTCCATTGCTTCATACCAAAATGTACGCAATTTCATATCTCTACATCTAATAAATCTTTCAAATCTGCTTGATCTCCAAAAGAATTTGTCAATTCTCTCATGTGAATGATACAAAATATCATATAAACACACTGGTAATAATGTACCCAGAGTTGTAAGTACCATGCATACAGGTGCTATTTTAAGGACTGTTCTCAAAGGAATAGGATATGAACTATTTGGGACAGGCATATTTATTTATTTAAATTATTGTTTTATCAATAATTATTATTATTATTATTATTATCATCTCCAAAAGCTATTTCATATAATTCTTGCATTTTCTTTCTTTTCAATTCATTTTACATTTAATCTCTTCCATCATTTTATATTATATCTTCATCTGCTTCAAATACTACTGTTTTCCATCCTCTAAATAATTAATCACCTGGCTGATGTATCTTTCCTCTTACTGTACGTAGATTTTCATTCTATTTTCTGGCTTTTTAACTTTTCTTTTTCTTTAATTCACATTCATTTAAATATATCTTACAAAATTCATTATCAATATTATTATTATAAGTACAATACATGTTATATTTCTCTTCTCTATCACATAAATTCACTACTCTTTAATAAAATGGTAATTTTTTATTCAATTCTATTGTCTTTTATAATAAAGGATGATTCTTTAAATCATTATCATCTATAGTTTATTTTAAAGATATTGATTTTAATTCATCTACAAAAAATAAGTAAAATAAACATCTTCTAAATTATCTTCGATTCATTATTGGTTTTAAAAGATCAAATAATTCAGGTTGACTTTTATGATGATTTTCTGCATAAATCAAATAAGCTTATTCAAACAATAAGGCATATTATTTTATTTCTTATATTAGAACATCCTAATATTTACAATCTGCTGCTCTAAACATTATTTAAATAGATGTATATGAAAATCTACTCAAAACTGTTTAAATAGCTTTCTTTTAAATCCCTAATATTTTTACTAACACCTTTAGACTATTTCTAATACCTAATACAGCATGTTCTTTAAATCTACATTAAGACATTCTAACACCAGTTTAATTAAAAAAATCTTTAGTAGCTGTTACATGATTGCCACGGCTTTTTATATCTATTTCTAATAACTTTGAAAATTAAATATTAGATAATTCTTATTTAGGTTTTTTAAAAGACTCATAAATTCGTTTCAATTTTTAAGGAGATTTTACTTGAAATTAGCAAGCATTAAATAAAATTCTAGCTACATGTGCCCAATTTCTACAATCCTCTCCACCAAAACTATCTACTATTTTTATAAATTCTTCAACTAAACCAGGTTGACTCATCATTTTCTTAGCCATTATAATTTTAATCAGATTATCAGCAAAATAAAATTACTCTTCAATATCCTTTAAAAAAATGGTATTTTTTATTATCAAATATACACAATTTTAAAAATAAAATCACTTTATTTCAATTATTTATTTTTTACCATTTTCATTATGAATTCTACTTCCATCTAATATTTAATCATCTTCATTTAATACTGTATTAAACCATTCATACCAAACTCCTGCTTCATTGTTTACTCTCTTTATTGTAAATTTCAATTTTTGTTTTTTTAATATATTTACAGGTTTCTGAATAATAATAATTAACATTAAATACTTCAAAAGGAAAATAAATAGGAAACCAAGAAAACATATCTGGAGTACTATTATTTGGATGTGTACTAAGTTCTATTTCTTCATAAAGTTTAGATGTAAAATAACCAGCCATTCCATGTATCAATAAATCTTGTTTAAACTCAAATAATAAATTCTACAGATAGTTAATGTTATTATACTTATTCTTATGCTAATTTATTTTCATTATTAAAATCTGGATGTTTAAATTACATACATTTTTAAATATCATGTATAGTGTAATATTTTTAAAAGTGAACTACATAACTAAAATCATATCCATAACTTTTTTTAACTTTTGTATGTAATTAAGGACAACTTACTGGAACACAATAAGATACAGAATCACTTGGAATACTAATTGCATCTGGTTATAAAAACTTTTAAGCCCACAATAAACATTCAGGTGATAATTCATTATCTCCAAAACTGCCTAATAATTCAGATACAATTAAATCAAATTTCAATTCTGTTTACCATGTTTTTAAATCATTTAAAATTATTTCTACATCCTTCCATTATTTTTATCTTTTTTTTTAAAATACTAAAGTCATATATGCATATGGATTTTTTTCAAGAGCAACTATTTTTATTTTACATTTTGCACCTTAAGCTGCAAAAATTACTCTTTCTAAAATTCCACCTCTTCCAGCTCCTGCCATTAAAATATTAATTTCTGTTTTTTTTACATTTTTCAAATATTTTCTACAAGCATCTTCATATAAATCATATTTTATTTTATCCTATTCAAAAACTTCATAAGTTCCTGAATTTAAATTATCCTTATAAGGTTATAAAGGAATTTGTAATTCATCAAAGAATTCTGATGCCAAATTAGCTTAATCTGATAGAGGTTATTAATTTTTAAAAAGATGAATCAAATATTATCGATAATCAGCTAAATCTATTTATGGAGATTTAGCTGATATTGATATATAATTTTCAAATGGAAAATAAGAAGTCAAAAATTAGTTTTGAGCATCTTCTAATTTTGGTGCTCCTTAATCATTCATTGAAAAATGTTCTTGATTTAAATGTACAAATCTAATATTTTCAGAGAGCCATTTTCTTTATTCATTCTATATATAAATAATAATAACAATTACCTTAGTTGTCATTTCTTTCTTTAATCTAAGAAGTATTGGAAGATTAAATTATAACTCTTATCGAATTTAATTATATTTATTCCAATCTTTTATAATATCAACATCCAAAACAAAAGTATTCAAGTCAATAAAATATTTATTTGACATCTAAAAATTATAAGAAATTATACTTTTCTTATAAATTTGGCTAGTTTTATAGGATCACAATTTGAATTTAATATAATTGATGGTACTCCTAAATAAGCAGCAAATTAAATTTCCTATTTTAACATCTCTCTATTTATTTTTCTCTTTTCTTTATTATCATCACTAAGGTTATGATTGGAAATTAAAAAATGTAGCTTTTAGATGTCATCTGATTTAACTTCTAATTCTGATTTTAAATATGAATGATTAATAAAATCATTAATATTTCCTTCCCTTTAAATATTTGATGGGAAAATTGGCATAATTATTGCATCAAATTTCTTCTTATTAACAATGGTAATAATTTATGGGACAGAATCTTTGAGTTCATAAAAATACCAAACAGTCTTTAATCCCCAAGGTACAGCTTCAAATTTGTAAACCATAATTAAAAATATATATAATTTTATTTATCACTTTTTGCTTTTCTAAGCTTTCCATATCAGTTCCTAACTAGTTTCATATTATTTATCAAGTAATTCAATATCTAAACAACGTTTACTTAATTATTTTTTACAATTTTATTCACTATAGCTTTTAGCTCTTTAACTTGATATCTTAATATAAAGTGAATATCTTACTTAATTAACCAAATCTATAGACTACTATTTAACAGGAATGTTATTATTCTAAATGGGAAGCTGTTTCGCATTTTTTGTGCTTGATGCACATTAAGTTACAGACTATTATTGAATATGTTATTATTAATTAATAATATTGACATTGTTTGTGAGAATCTATTATTAGATATTATGATTAGGTCCATAACATGATTTTGATGAAGATCTGTTATTTTCTGATTATAATTGTTATTATTATTAAAAATAATTAAGTGGTCTTTAACTATTTTATGAAGTTTTTGAAGTACTACATTAATCATATTATCTATGTGATTAGGTTATAGAATCTATTAAATTTGAATAGATCTTACATTTAAAATTATTATTATCAATTGGTATCATCATTGATGATTGATTCTCTTCATGAACAGTTAATAATTAAGGACAATCTAAATTACGTTTAGATTCTGGTCTATTTATAGGATATTAATTTAAGTTATTCTCTTTATTAGCTTTAACATCTTATAAGCGAGTGGGTTTATTAAAAGCAAATTGTTTATTTTCATATGTGTTTTTAGCACTTTGTGGATGAAGATCTATTTATTGATTCTTTTTTTGTTTATTTTTATCATTAGATAACTATATATTCTTAGGAACAGAAAGGTATTAATCATCCCTTGTTGGTTCTTCTAATTCTTTATTGATACTTTCAAAAGCGGAATCAAATGGTGTCCCTTACAATTACATGATCGAAATCTTTATACTTACCAGTTTGATATACCTTCTTAGGATTATTAAAGATTCTTGAAAAATTTTCTGGTTTTAGGATTTCATCTGGTTCAGTTTTAGTTGGTCTGATTGGAGACAACTTAATTTAGTCTTTTGGTTAAGAACATCTGGATCTTTTATGTAATTAATTCATCAATTATTAAAGCAAGGCACTCTATATTTAAATAATTCAATTTTACGTTGGATTGATTTTGTTTATGTGTTTCAATGCTAATCTCCATAAGTTAACTGAAAATGGAAGTCCATCCTTGGAGTGTTTATTAAATAAGATGAACATCATTAGAAAGAGAATCCAAAGTAGTTGAATGGCTATCAAATAACCCTACTTATGGGTAGCTAGACATTTGATTGTTAAAAATAAAATTAATTACAATTTTGTTTATTATAATCTTTCCATAAGTTTTATTAAACACAAAATAATTTACTTTAAAAATCAACAAAAGATTAATCAGAACTTATTTATAAATCAAAATAATGTACAAAGAAATAATATTTATTATCAATCCTTTTTTTCTTTATTTTCTGTTACTTCTTATTAAGTATTTATATCCTAAGAATATCCAGCATCCTAAATATATTATTTAAAATAATTACTAATCTATTTGGATCTACTTTATATATCCTTCTTTGATATATATATATAAGAAATATTATATCATCTCTAAAACAACTTAATCTCTTTAACCATGGCATTGTTATTATGAATGCAAATAAATCATCAATTATAGTGTTCAAAAACTTATATATCATTGTTCTCCATGGTAAATGAGCTACAGATTTAAGTTTATAATTAATAAATAACTAAGGAGTCATATTAATAAAACCAAATAAATAGATAAATTCTACTAAGCTCTCTATTATAAAGGAATATATTCCTTTATGTTCTTAGTAAATCAAAGCATAAATAATGTAGCCACCAAATAAAGGTATTGACAATTTATACAAGAAATTAGCTGCTTTCTAATCATATTATTAAGTTTTCGATTCATAGGATTATTAATGCAAGAATTATACATAAGGAAATACATTAATTTTTTTGAATTTGGTTGTTTTTGTGATTTTCCATACCATCAATCCTAATTCAACAAATTATTAAATTATTATGAGATAAGAAGTTTCATTATCTAATAAGTATAAAGTAATGATAACATCAAATACAAAATTTGTATATAAAGCTCTTATTGATATTCCTTCTTAAGAATTCAAATTCTTCCAATATTAAAAGTCATTCTTTATAGCTAATGTTGAAAACACTGTATGTAATAAACTAACTATCATTGTTACAGCAACTAAATAAAAATTAGTTTCAAAAAGCATCTCCTTAGTATTATCTTCTGCTATTTCATCATATATTTCCATTCCTAAATTTTCATAAAATTTTCCTGCTTATTTCAAAGAATCAATCATATAATATTTCCATGAATTATAACAATTAAATTCTATTGGAATTTCATATGTCTCATTTGTTTAAATCAAAAGATGATCTTTCTTTCTTAAAAAATAGTTATCAACATCCAGATTTGGAGTATAAATGAAACCTTCTTATGTTCTTTAAAATCTATCTAAATTTATAATTCAATTTATTTTACATTTAATTTATGGTGGAATTTAATTTTTTGGATATGAATTTGAATCATGCACAAATAATATATATTATTTATTTTTTGTATGCCATTCATATTTTGAATTAGTCAAATTTTCTTCAGATTTCTTTATCATATACTCATCATGCTTATCAAATAATAAATTCTTTTTTTCATTTTATTACACTTTCATTAGTTTTGTTAATGCAAAGCCTGATTCAATATTAAAGTTGCTGTTTCCTAATTCTATTTTGAAATAAGGATTTTTAAGTAGCTTTGAATAATATATATTTATACTTCTTCTCCTGTCAAAGTAATGTTTTTCACAATTATTGTGTCTTTACTATAAAATAAATCTAACTCTTCAAAAGTCCAATTAGTTACATTGTTTGTAATTGTTAAGTTAAATAGATCATTTGAATTTAGAATGTTGAAATAAGTATCAACTCGAGGACTTTATTAGAAAAATGAAACCATATAATTTATACCTATAATGGTAAGAATTATTCTGAAAAAACCAAATCCTCCTTATTATTAACCTTGATTAGCTTATTATGCCTAGTTGTTATTCCCTTGCACTTAATTATTCATAATTTTTTGTAATGATTATACTAATTTTAATAATTATATATTAATAAAGAATAGTTCTGAGTACATTATGTATTTTAGAAACCTTCAATATCTAAAATTTATGATTATAAATTTTTAATTAAAATTTCTAATTCTTTGTTAAGATATTTTCTTATTAAAAATTTAATGGGATGCACTTGCAGCAATAGGAAGGAGTAATCTCTAAAAAAGACGATAAAATCAACTTAATCTACATCAAATCAACTATTTCTTCTCGTCGAAACTAAAATGTACAAATTCTATCGACCTCATCAAAAACTATAGAATGTATACATATTCATTAAGAATTAAGATCTCTAATAGCACAATTCTAACCAGAAGAAGAATAAATATGGAAATAAAAGATCTCGAATCTTTAGAAACTAAATGAAAGTTATTGTTTTTTTTTTTCAGATTCATTTATGAAAATAAAATATTCCTTCAAACTTTTGTATTACTGTAAGTTCTATACTTAAAGGATTTGTGAATATTGCTTTAATTATATTCTTCTTTCATTTTAAAAAATATACCTTAATTTTTAAGTTAGTTAAAATCTATCTTTATTTGTGATCAATATTGCTTTAAGGCTAAAATTGTTAAGAGAATACAAATGATTCTTAAAAAATAGATTATGATAAATACTTCTAGTCATTTTTACAGAAATTTAAACTATGTTACATCATAATAAGTTTTATATTAAATATCCATCACATAATTTCAAAGCTTAAAAGCAAACTTTAACTCACCCTCTCTTTTTACAACAATAAGAAAATTAATATGTATAAAAAAATTAAATTAGTTCTATGAGTTGATAAGTCATATATAAAGCCATTTAAATCTTTTTAACAAACTTTTTAATAATTGAAATTATACGACATAATTATATTAGTATAGAATTATTATATAATAATGAATTAGAAAAAATTTTTATTGATCTAATTAGTAACCACAGTTTATTGTATTTCTCAGTATGTAATCTGTTATTTATTTATACCAAAACTTTACAGATTGTGTAACCACAGATTTTTTATTATTCATTAAAATACAATCTGGAAAATCATTTTTAATTAGAGTTAATTTTCTCTGAAATTTTCTAATTCTATATAATTAAATTACAGTTTAATTCTCATAAAATAAATTTAATATAATTATTATGGAATGAATAAATTTTATTATTATTTAGATTATATTATAAATTTTTAAAATGACCTTTTATCAGAAATAGGATGATCTAAAATTTGTATTTCAAATATTTTCTATTTTGTTTTAATTTTGATAATGAAAGAAATTCTTGAAATCAAGAAAAAAATATTATTTTTATTTTATTTTATATATATTTATTAATAGTTTTTAATTTTGCTTTCATAATTAACGAAGAATATTTATAGCTTATTAATCAATTAATTCCACTGGTAGGATGGTTAAGGATAATCTAATCAAGTTAATTTAATTTTATTGAACTTTAACAAAATATGTTAAAGCTAATCCAATTGCTATTAATGTTAAATACCCAGTTATTAGAAAATAAATCAAAGTATCATTAAAATTATCTTCAATTTAACCAAATGCTAATTTTAAATTTTCTTAAGCAAATTAATTGAAAGCCAATTTAGCATTAGTAAAATGTCTACCAAACATTTAATTGAAATCAGCTGAATTGAGTATATTTAGAGTATTTTAGAAATCTGCATCAAGTTCTTTATTTTCTAATTCAATATTATAGAAGCTGACAATATAATTTAAAATTTTTGTATATATTCCTATTATTCCTTTATTATATAGATAAGTACAATTATCCTTTATATCAGGTGAATTAGGGCAAAAGAGCTAGCAAATATCTTAAAAAAATAATTAATTTAAAATGTCAGCATTTTTTGAATCAATATTAGGATTATTGATTAAATTTTGTATGATTTGAATTTAGCTATGTTTAAATGAATCTACCAAATAATAAAAATTTGTTAGATTTTGATAGCGATCTTGTTTGAAATAGTTTTAAGATGATTGTAATGTTTTTTAGGATATAGATTCAGTTAAAGAGTTCTAACTTAAAAGTATATTTTAGCTTTTGATTCTAATTGCATTACTAATAATAGAATCAACTTAAATTGTGAAATGAAGAAATTCAGCACCTAATTTATAAGATGGCATGAGTTATTTTTATTTTTGAGAATTAAATAGGAAACCTCCTATATTGACTATCAGAATAATTAATAATAAAGTAAACAAAAATGCTGAAATCGAACACATGTTAAAAGTTGATTACTATATTCTTGAAGATAGAAGGGTTGTCTTGTTTTGTTTAGTATTTGTTGTATTAATTTATTACTCTTTATTCAAAGGTTAATATATAATGTGTACATAATCTGCCTTCTTCCAATTTATTGAATATTTATCATTTAAAATTTCTCTCACACTTTAGAGTTTCTAAATTGTAACATAAATGTCTTTTTCGTATAATCTACAATTAAGATTTAGAATTTTCACATGAGTTTTTAATAAATCAAAAAGAAACCAAAATTATAAGATAAAAAGGCAGAATTACAGAATAGTTTAAATGATAAATAAATTTAAAATAAATTCATCATTTAAATCTAATTCAACATAGAATTTGTCTATTAATGATCTAATTAATAATCTAAACAATTATGTGCTATTTTCTAAATTTAATACTTGAAAAAGAGATTGTTAAAAAAAGTGATCATTAAAATTATTAAAGTCATAATCTTAATAATATTCAATCAATTGTCTGAAATAAATAGTAAGTTTTGAATAATAAAAAGTATAAGATGAATTTAATTCATCAGCTTAATCAATATAATGTAATGTAATATTGGAAGTTAAAAAATTCTCTTATTATTCAATTTAGTGAAATACAGTTTGAAATTCTGACATATTTTGCAAATAATTAAACTTTTTAAATCTTTATTCAATAGAGTTTAATAAATTTTAACTTATTTGAATTCCATCTACTTTAGATAATTTATAAAGTATATCAAAAGAAGTTATTTCACAATAAAATCCATTAAAAATATATGGGGCTTACATTTCAAGTAACTAACGGTTACCATTATCTCTTTGCTTATTTATAAATATCACATTTAGAATGTTAAATATGATTATGCTTAAAATAATACATACATCTAATAAAATAATAAAACTTAATTATATGGGTCTTGCTTAATTTCTAGATTTCAATTTTAATAATTCATAATGGTGATTTTTTGATCTTCTTGCAATAGAGCCACCAGAGTTAACAGCTTAAATTTCATTTTTTTAATCTAATTATTATTCATTATTATTATTAGATGATTATTGTTCTTATAATTTATCAAGGACAGTTTTATTTTTTGTGTATTATAATTAAAAATTTTAATTTTCATATCCTATTTCTTATTATAATTTGATAATTTTAAATTCATCTTCTAAGTATTTAGAATCATCATTCATACTTTTATGTTTGATTAAATTAAAAGTTGCTCTTTATGAAAATGGAGCTAAAATTTATCTAGAAGATTCTTATAGTTGATCAAAAAAAGATTAATCATATCTTCCTCTCATTAAAGATATTTCTGGATATTATTATTATTTATCATTTTCATCTATTTTTATTTTTTAAAAACTTTCATCCTAAATTGAACTTAACATTAAATGACTTGATTTGTTTAGATCTGATAATTCAACATTATGCATGCTATTTTATGAGAATGTATCTCCATTTTCTTAATCAAATACAGAAATAATATCATTTATTTCTAAAGTAAATAATGGAATTGACTTTTAGTATCCAAGTATTAAGTATTCTAAGTAACATTTAATTTAGAAATTTGTAGTTTAAACATTTTAATCTATATATAGTTGCATCTTTTATTAATATACTTCGTCAAAAAGATCACAATTAGGTTTTTCAGAATCAAGTAAATTTAGATTTAAATTTGATTTTTAATTTTAGTTCATTTAAAAATGTTCTGGTGTGTCAAATGTTGTCCATAAACCTGCATAAAACATTTAATGTTTATTTTTTGCTTTTGAACTTTACATTAATTTAGAGAACTGTTATTTTATAGGATTTCCAATTTTTAAAATAATTTTATCATCTTAATTAGCTTCATCTTCAGAATTTCGATATGCATTGATTAAATTAAATATTTTAGGAATTAATTGAAAAACATATCCAGATGTAAGATGATCTAAAGTAATTGTTTTATCTATTGATTACATTAATTTGAACATTAGATTATTAACTCCTAATATTCTGCCTTTATGATCAAACAACATAAAAAGACATTTCTCTTTTGTTTTTGAAAATGCAGCTGTAATAACATAATCATCATAACTGATAAAGAAATTATCAATAGTAATATCTGCAGGAATGAAGAAGTTACTTTTTCCTTTCAAAAAAATTGTTCTACTTTTACCGAATAAAATACTATGTCCTAATTTCTTAAATCTTTCTAAATATTAATCATGAACTGATGCTAAAAAATCTGGCATTAATTAATTTATATGTTTAATATCTCTGAAATCCATTTCATTTTCATATCCCCAAAATTAAGCAATTTATTATGCATTTAATTTAATTATAGATCCTTATGATTTAACAATACTAGTGTAAAGCAAACAAATTTTGTTTTCAATAATATTACCATTAAGTAATTTTCCTTCAGTTAGAGTTTCTGATCTTAAAATGTCATTCATTACTTTTTACATTTTTACTGCTTATTCATGATCATTTATAATTATTGCATAATAAATTATTAGAATTAAAACTTCTAATATTGTTCTTGGTTCTTCAATTTATTCTATATTACTGCAATTAAATAACTTTTAAAGTAGCAATTTACATTCGATTAATTTTTAACTCATTAAACATGTTGTCTAAAAAAGCTTCTTTAAATTTGTTATCAAAGATATTAATTATTTCCAATAGTTTATTTTATAATCTAGAGTGCTCAAAATCAAAGGCATTGATATTTCTCTTATTTTCACTGCCTCATATATATCTTTTGTAGATAAAATACGATGATCTAAATATTATCCTGCCTTTAAAAGTTGATTTATTCCTTCTTAAACTTTTCTAACAGAATTCCATAATTATTTATGCTAACTTGGAAATGTAATCTGAAAGAACAAGGAATGATCTTAAGGGATATTATAATATTATATTAATCTACAAAGGGCTGTTAATGGAGCTTTATGAATACATAAAAAGTGAATTAAAGCTAATTCTAAGATTTCATAATCTATTTTCTACTTTTTGTTAATTGAAATATTATATTCTAAATAATAAATTAATATTTCATTTTTACTCTAATCTTTTTATTACAATTTACAATTAGTTTTATGATATTTTAAATTTATATACTATTAAATATCCTACGATTAATAAAATTCTTAACACTAAATTAAAATTGTAAATTAATTAGATGAATCCATATCTGTATTTCTATCATAAAGTTAAAATGAAAGAGCATATGCTAAAGTTCCAATTAAAATAGAAAAATAAAACATATTTTCTTCTGATTTGTTAAATAGTAATATTGTATGAATTATAACCAAAGCGTAAAATAGAAAGTTATACTAAAATACTATTTTATTCAATTAGAATTTATAAGGTTTAAATATAATAATGTCTAAGCAAAGGACTATTCCTTAGATATGTAATAAAATCAATTATAAAATGTGAAATTCAAAATCTATATAACAAATAGTATCTAAAGCAGCACTAATTATTGTTAATTAAGTAAATTTTCTAACAAATGGATTACTATGAATAAATTTAGTGGAACGATTAAAATAGAGATTAAATACTAGAATAAAAAAAAGAAATAGGATTCCAAAAATTGAAATTCCAATATTTTCTGATGAACTTGAAAGCATTGCTACTTAAGGTATATAAAATATAGTCCATAAAAGGTTATTGTAATAGAAAACAAATTGAAATTTAAAAAAGCTGAGAATGAAGATTGTAACATTAAATAATATGAGAAGTATTTTAAGTGCATCTGATATTTCTTAATATAAAACTGACAACATGACATAAGGAACATGCAGTTTATAATCTTCATATTTCCATATATTCCATCCATCTGATGGAAATATGAAATGGAGTCTCAAAATAAGTTATAATAAAATAGCGCTTTAAAATAGTGATTCTCCTAACTGAATTTTCGGAGATGAAGTCATTAAGTCTAAGTAATGTTCGATTAGCCTTTAAGTTATTTCCATCATAAACCAGAAGATTAAATTGTTAAAGCTAAATTAACTATATACTTAATAATAACATTAATATCAATTTACAAACAAGAAACAAAACATACAAGATTTATCCCTTTAAATAGCCAATCAACTTGTATATTTAATCAATTTCCGATAAATAAAAAAACTCAAGGCTTATTTTTTCTAAAATATACTGTAACCATTATACAATATGGATATAAAATAATTATTAATAATAACAACTAATGGCTTCATAATTTATTCATGAATTTCTTTAGTACACCATTCAAACTTAAAAAAAAAAAATTTATATTTTTTTCAAGAAAAGATAAATCTAATAGAGCAGATTCTTTCAGATTCTTAATGAAATTTTTATTCTTTCCAACTACTTTGATAGTTTATTCTTTTTATGATACGATTAACCTCTTCTGACTTATAATAAGTAGTAGCTATAATGAAAAAGTAACTTTAAAGAAGAATAATTGTAAATATATACAAATTTTACTAGTATAATCAGATAAAATATATAATTAATATTTCTCTCTACTTCATATTGTTTTAGTAGCATATTTAATTCTTCTTTAAAGTATAGTACTAACGGAAATCTATAATTACTAAAAATTTTACATTTTACAATTGAGGTATTCCATCTTTATATTAGTTTCTGAATGCCAAATATTTTGAGTTTTTAGGCTTTTTAATAAATGATAAAATAGTGCTTGACTACTTTCTACTCTTTGTATTTGTACAACCCATCAAATATAATAAATAACTTAAAAAAAAAGAAAATGGTTGATATATTAAACAAACTAATAAACGTAGACTAAAATACTGAAATAATTTATTCATTCATAATTTCAAGGTAATATTAATATGGATTTCATTCCTGAAGAATCAAAAACTAATAGACTTGGATTATTAGAGTATCTAATTTCAATTTATATTCCAGGCAGATTAAATTTCCCTAATTCAATTGGAAATAATAAATATGTAAAGCAAGCTTCATCTTCAAGATATTTCATTTATTTGATCTTGCCCATAATATCTTAATCTTTTAACTAAATAAAATAATTTTATGGTTCTCTTGTCTTTAGTTTTACAACAATTTCAAAAGTTTTCTATGCAATACATGTAGATGGAGATATTATTTCCACATTTTATAAATAAGATACAACGGTAACATTGTTTAAATTAATAAAAGCCTCATAGTTCATCTAATTTCTTTTATATTTGATTCTAAATTAACCAAAATTAGTATAATTTGTTTAAACTCTAGTCATAAAAATAACATTCAACTTATTTTTATTATAAAATTCAAGATCAACAAATGGTTCAAATTCTGTTTATATATAATCAATATCTTACAATTCTAATTAAATTGCACATTTACTAAAATCACTCAAAGTATTTTATGCATTTTAAAAAACACTACCCAATTATTTAATTTTTCTATAGTAAGTAAATGGAAAGATAAATTTTATTTTCTTGAAGTATTCTTCATCTTGAATCTTGAATCCAACAACTCTAGCATGAATATTACTATCTTTTATTAATAAAGTAAATTATCTATTATTTATAATATTATTATTATTTTCTTTAAATTTGAGAAGACTATTCTTATTTTAATCATAATTTAATAATTACAAATCAGTTTGATAACTTAATTCTACCTAAATTTCATTTACTTCATTTATATATGCAAAATCTTATTTAAATGTTATTATAGGGGGATCCCTTTTATAC